CACCTGATAGTTATGATCTTGTCTTTGTCTTCTTTTCGAGCGAAAATTTTTCCATTTTTAAACCAAATGTATTTGTATTCTGAACCTAAATGTTTTTTTGCATTCCACAAAATTGTTTTATTTGCTTTTGTGAGTGCACGTCTCAACATAATTCTATCCTTACCCTCATCATATTTCATAGTTGCATTAGGAAGAATATCATTCACTTTTAATACCTTCATTTTTGCAGCTTGTATCCACTTCTCACTCTCTGTTTCATCTTTTAATTCCAGTAGCAGATATCCATCCTTTCCTTTTCTTCCTTCTACTTGTGTTAAGCTTTTAATTGAACTCGCATCCATATCTAATTTGGATGCTAATATTGTAGTAATCTTATTATGATTAATGCCATCAATACCCGATATACCAGTTATTTCAATTCTGTTATTATATTGCTTTTGTTCCATTTCTCCTATCTTTTGTTCTAGAGCACTTATTCTTATTTCCAAATTATTATTCTTGTTGTTTAATGCTAGATTTTTGGTTTCTAATTCTTTAATTCTGCTTTTTAGAACATCCATACTTTCTAGCACCTCATCTAGTTTATCGTGACAGTAACTTATAGAAGATTCGATTGGTTCTAGTTCTCGCTTTATAGTAACTTCAACTTCCTTTGAAATATCCTTTAGTAACTTTTTAATGTCTATTGATGGCTTAGAATGCGAATTATCTTGAGTTTGTTGATTTTGTTCCACTTTTTCTTCTTCTTCTGGGATAATAAACGACCTTCTTACAGGAGTGTATCGTTGACATTCCTTGCAGGTCCATTCCAGGCTATCTGCGTTACGTAATGCTGCAATCTGTTTAGTTGAAAGATTAGTACAGGCTTGAGTCGCGTGCACAATTTTTTCGCATTTGCTGCATTCTAAGCCAGGAGTTCTTTTAGTTATCGGTTTTTCACAACAATCACATTTACTCATTGTAATGTCGGTATAACGACTTTTTTAACCACACGTCCGATCGGTAACACTGTCAATGCAAACTTATTTTATAACTATAGTTATATATTATAACTGCGAAATGTTAGCATAAATACTGTGTAATATTTTATTTTACGTCAGGGATGTCGAGAATATAACATCAAGGTCCTAATAGTTCCTTGTACAAGCTTTACTTAATTATTGGGATATTTTTTTCTTGGAACTTGTATATGGGCCTGCGCTCACAGACGGCACGACATGTCACGGCGAGTCAAATCATTTTTTCATGGACAAAAGATTTCCGACCTTATTCTAATGAATTTAAGACTGACATTCCTTTATTTCGACACGAATAGACCGAAGCTTCTCGCGTGACATCGCGGCGTGCTGCTGCACGTCACGTCATTCTCCTGATGCGGTGGCACGGCATGGCATTCCTTGGAATGCCGCGGCAGTCCGTTGCATCTTTTTGTTGTTAAACGAATGTGACTACTAAGTTATTGAAACAAGGTTGAATCTAGCCCGTTGCGCGCACGATCTCAGCGCCTCGCGCGAGTGCCCGGTATGGTTTATTTTGTTTAATTTCATTCTGTGCCTGGCAAGAGAGATAACTACACGTTACCCAAGGACAGTGCTAAAGTAAAAGAGCGCACGAACGCGGCTGCTTTTGTCACGGACGTCGGTTGCCACAGGATCCTTTGGCATGCCCCGGGATGCCACAGGATCGCTCGGCATGTCGAAGTGTGCCTTGCCACGCTGTGCTACACCGTACCCTCTGAGCTCAGACCCTAAATCCACTCTTGGATAATGTATTTTTCCAAGGTGCAAGGTACGTAAAGATCTTGAAAATTATGCACATACTCACGGTGTTCAGGTGGGTTGATGAATTCTAGAGTCCGCACACGTATTTATAATGCGGGATTTGTCTTGAATGGATTTGATTGTTGCTATATCCCTTGGCAGGGACTTGATATATCGTTGGATAGAAAAGACGCGGCTTTTTAAGTAAATACTTATTACGATTAATAACCAAACATCTTCTGTAAGCGTCTTCGTCACCTTGAATACCCCACTTTCTCTACGATCTGGGTATTGATAGACACAGGAATTGGATAACATTATTTATTCTTGTATCTACCGATCGCACAACGGTGACCAGGAGACAACTAGGCTGTTTGAACACCTCAGTGAAGCTTCTGTTGTGGTTTTAAATCAGTACCCTAATGCACAGTTGGTTTTTCTGGGGGACTTTAATGCCTGTCATCAGGACTGGTTGTTCCCATATCAGAAGACCGACCACGCTGGGAGAGAGGCGTGGAGTTTCGGCTTGTCGCTGGGGCTCTCCAAGCTGGTACAACAAACGACTAGGGTACCTGATGTAGATGGGCACACAGCCAACTGCCTCGACCTTCTGCTGACGACCGATCCAGACAGGTACGATGTTAAGGTTACCTCACCCTTGGGAACTTCTGACCACTGTCTTGTAAAAAATCTGTGTCGTTATATTCCCCACTTAACTACGATTTCCACGGAGTGCGACGAATGTGGCGATACAAGTCAGCAGATTGGGATGAAATGCGGCATTTCTTTGCATCCTTTGGCGGCGGGTCTGCTTCTCCTCTGAAGACCCGTCGAGCTACGCGGATGTTATAACGAATGTGATACGTCAAGCGATGGAGTATTTCATCCCCTTTGCTGACGTGCCCATTGGTGGTAAAGCTTGGCCATGCTTTAACGCCGAGTGCGCTCGTGCTGAAAAGCACAAGCATAAGGCGTACTTATCCTGGATCGATGCTTGAGACCGTAAAGCTCCGGATGTTAGCCTTAAGAAGAGAGCCTTTAACCAAGCCGCCAAATCGTGCAAAAAGCCATTAGGCTAAGCCAGTTTCGACCGCATTAAGCGCATCGGCACAAAGCTCTCTGTAAAACCATCTGGCAGTAGAGCTTTTTGGTCTCTCGCCAAAGCGGTCGAGACAAACTTCTGTCGGTCTACACTGCCTCCGCTGGTAAAACTAGATGGCTCGCTGGCGCATGCGCGGACTTATTTGCTTCTCTTTTTGCTTGCTATTTGCATCTGGACAGTAGCAGCAGCATACCGTCTCAATTACCTCACTGCGGTACCTCTATGTCTGAGGTCCGTATCACCAACTAGGAGGTTCTTAAAACCTTGCGAAGTTTAGACGTGAACAAAGCTAGTGGACCTGATGGTATACAAGCTATAGTTCTAAAGGTCTGTGCACCTGAGTTGTCTCTTGTGTTGACACGCTTGTTCCGCCTCTCGTTCAGGACTGGAATAATGCCTAAATCTTGGAAGCTGGCCAATGTGTAGCCTGTGCCTTAAAAAGGTAGCCGTACCGACCCTGCCAACTATCGGCCAATTTCAATTACCTCCATACTCTGCAAGATTATGGAGCGTATATTGAACCCCTACCTCATGGCATACCTAGAGCAAAATGATCTCATCACTGATCGCCAGTACGGGCTTCGCCGAAATCGATCAACTGGGGACCTTCTAGCGTATGTCACTCACATATGGGGCGAAGCCCTCGTGAACAGTGGTGAAGCACTTGCTGTTGCCCTCGATGTTTCGAAGGCCTTTGACAGTATTTGGCACGCTAGTCTATTGGGCAAGCTTTCAGCGTACGGCTTATCCCCTGGCTTGATTGCCTGGTACTTTCTGAGTGAACGGTCTCTCCGGGTCGTCGTCGATGACTGCTCATCCGATACTGTGGGGACTAACGCCGGTGTTCCTCAGGGGTCCGTCCTCTTCGCAACACTCTTCCTGCTGCATATAAATGATCTGCTCATTCCCGGTGTCTATGGGTATGCAGACATCAGCACAGTTGTGGAGAGATACCAACGAAGTGTCCGGGTCAGTCGGGATGAAATCCAGTAAGAAAGAGAGGCTATGGTTGAGCGTGTGAGTCTCACACTACAGGCAGTCTCCGAATTGGGCGATGCCAATCTTGTGAGATTTAACGCCTCCAAAACACAAGCGTGTCTTTTTACCGTTAAAAGGAGCCTGTTCACCTTGGCTCCTACTTTCCGGAATATATCCTTGGAGTACACTTACTGCCTTCACTTGTTAAGGATTGAATTTTCTCTGAACCTAAACTATGGGCGGTTCATTGAGTCCAGAGCCAAATTAGCCGTATGGAAACTTGGCGTCCTTGCAAGGGTGCGGCGGTACTTTACGCCGGGGCAGCTTCTTACCTTATATAGAGCGCAAGTCCTGTCGTGCATGGAGTACTGCTGTCACATATGGGCTGGTGCTGCAAAATGCCACCTGGCAGCATTGGACTCAGTGGTAAGACGTGCTAAGAGGCCCATTGGTAACCTTGATTTGGTTGAAATAAATCAACAGGCGCAGAGTAGCCAGTCTCTCGGTATTCTATAGGATGCATTTCGGTGAGTGTGCGCAGGAATTACACGCTTTAATTCCCCCCTCTCCTTTCCACCATCGAACAAGCAGGCGGTCGGCGGTTCTTCATCCCTTTGTTGTCGATATTCCACGCATTAGAACAAAACGGTTTGCTTCGTCTTTTGTAATGCGTACAGCAAAGGAGTGGAATAATTTGCCGGCGGCTATTTTTCTGTCTGAATACAATTTGTACGTCTTCAATGCAAAAGTGAGGCTTTTGTTACGATAAGACAGTGCGATTTACCATCTAAGGCTGCATCACCACTTACCAACAGGTGGGATTGTGGTCAAGCACTGGCTTATAATAAGTTAAAAAAAAATTCTCATCAAATTCGATAAATTTTAAGTACCTTTTCTTATCGAATATTCATCGATATTTACCTCAGATTATCCGTTCCCTATTTTTAAAAGTTACTATAAAGCGAAAGGAACAAAAAGAAATCCATACATCGTGTTAGATCCTTCGAGCCGAATAAATTAAATTTTTGAGCCATGGACCCGGATTTACCCAGCTAATTTTTCGAACTTTGAGGCGAATATAGTTAATAAATGGTTCTTCGAGCCGGATATGGTCGAAGTGAGACGTTGTTTGAGTGTTGAGTGTGTGTGTGTGTGCTTAGGAGCACATGGCGGGTGGCGGTGCGGCGCGCAAGCTGGGTCTGCCCGAAGTGGTGCTGCCGGGCGACGCGCGCAACGAGCTGTACGTGACGCTGTGCGCCGGCGCCTACTCGCGCGGCGGCGGCAAGTCCTCCGAGCGCAACATCGAGCTCACCGCGCGCCTCGTCGACCGCCGCGGCCGCCTCTTGCCAGTGAGTACACTGTGCACAAGCTAGTGCTGCCGGGCGACGCGCGCAACGAGCTGTACGTGACGCTGTGCGCCGGCGCCTACTCGCGCGGCGGCGGCAAGTCCTCCGAGCGCAACATCGAGCTCACCGCGCGCCTCGTCGACCGCCGCGGCCGCCTCTTGCCAGTAAGTACACTGTGCACAAGCTAGTGCTGCCGGGCGACGCGCGCAACGAGCTGTACGTGACGCTGTGCGCCGGCGCCTACTCGCGCGGCGGCGGCAAGTCCTCCGAGCGCAACATCGAGCTCACCGCGCGCCTCGTCGACCGCCGCGGCCGCCTCTTGTCAGTAAGTACACTGTGCACAAGCTGGTGCTGCCGGGCAATGAGCTGGGTATGTGACGCTATGCGCTGGCGCCTTCTCGCGTCTCTTACCCATAACTACACATTATCCACTATATATCAGTAGTCAAATAAAAATATTTTATATACAGTGGTAGCCATAGAAAAACTACTAATAGCACATGACTAAAGAAACCGTACCGTACAGAGGCAAAGCTTCATACAACCACACTGTGATAGGAACACTACTACAAGTTTGAGGTGCGTGTGTGCGTGAGCACTGGTGGCTCGTCATGTACAGATAGAAACTGCCTTAAACCGGCTCGGCCAGTGCTCAAACTCAGGTTTGTGTAAAAAATAATAAGTGTCAAATTTTGCTTTTTAAATTCGTATCAAATGAAATATAAAAAAGTGTAAATATGGTTTACTAATACCTACGTGGATTTAAATCTTATCGAGTTTGCCGCAAGAGATACCGCTGATTTTGTAAATAAAATTAATAATTTGTTTGATTTCTTACACTCAAGTAAGTAGTTATCTAAAAAAAGATTTGTCTTGGGCGTCAAAATAGGCCGAAATTGCAGACTTCATTTCATCATTGTCGCCTTGGAAACTTGGTATATATACTAACTGTTCGCGCCAAACGCCAATTTCAGGAACTAACGCGAAAGGGCGCGCGGCTCGGTGCCATACCGGTTTTGACCTCGGTCGAGTGGTGGGTGTTGAGAACGCGTAAAGGCGAAAGCAGTCGTCTGCCAGCTGTGCTAACGATAGCATACTGTCATTTTTGTTCGGGAACAGCGGAATAGTTTAGGCGTCTAGTAAACATCCTGTCTAGGATTTATAACGCGCATTCCTTGTTGGATAGCCTATCCCGGGACTTATTGGGTCCGACTCAGAATCCGTATAAGTGCATTCGACAATATTAGCTAGTGCGGTCTTTGATATTCTAGACATAACTGTTGCTACGCGAAACGGTAGTGACCTTTGATCCGGACACTCCGTGTTCGTTTTGTGCGTTAACCTTATAACAAACGAGAATTAGTGGCTTCTGTAAGTTAGTTAATCGTACGATAGAGTTAATGGACTGTCATCGTGACGAACGAGGAAAGTGACTGTGGACAACGCCGCGGAAGATTACCTCATTTTGGAGCAGCCTGGAACTCGGCCGCTGCTGGTCGCCTATGCTTGCCAAGACCCCACACATTCACACCTCACTGTACACTATTCATACACTCACGGCGTGCCCAAGCCTTGGTGCGAAGTTAGCTCCGGATAATGGTAAGTACTATGTGTTTCTAGCTTTCTCCCATATTGTTTATTGTAATTAGGAAATTCCACGTGGCCATATTCTGGCCCCGTCCCTCTACTGCTCGTCGATGGGATTACTCATGGGCCCTAATCCCGTCATCCTTGGTTGGGGCAGCTAGCGGCGTGTACACTAACAATTAGTCACTCAACTAGCTCCTACCTGGATGAGAATACTCACCTTCGCCAACCCCGCCATTCCGCGAACTTTTTGACCTACCCTCGTACAGCCAGCTGACAGACCGACGGACAGCTGAGACTTTTTTTTGAGAGGGGGCAAACCAGCATGCGGATCACCTGATGGTAAGTGACTACCGCCGCCCATGAACAACCGCAACACCAAGGAAATTGCAGATGCGTTGCCGGCCTTTTAAAAAGGTGTAAGTCTATTTCTTGGAGGTCCCTAAGTCATATCGGTCCGGAAAAATCGCTGGTGCCAAACAATTCCACAGTCGTGGCTTAGTCCCGCTTAATAGGGTCCACCATAGGGTGCTTTATATGGGTAATTTTGCCATAGTTGCCACGCTCGCCAAGTGATTTTGCAACGTTTTTATGATTTTGAGTTGTGTTATCAGGAAGGTGCTGTCTATTTCCTATTTCAATTTCCCTCTATCGCCTCTTTACGACACCCATGGAACGACATGGGTCAGTGGATATTCTTACACCACCACTAAACGATTAACATATACCAACATCATAGAAAATGGATACAGCCATCAATGTTTTTTACAAATTAATATTTTAAAGTAACACTTTTATTTCTATTTTCTATCAGGGAGTTATTTCAATAAGCGCCAATACGCCTCTAGTGGATGAATACACCTCGCTTGTTTACTATCACGAAGATAGGCCGAGATGGCAAGAGATTTTCAAGGTGAGTGTTTTCATGTTGTAATTTAATAATTTCTTATATCTACGCGAATACTACATACCTACACAACATCGATTGAAAGTAGTAGTATCGAAATAACTACCTTTTATCTAATTCAGGGGGTTAATTGCATACTAATTACCACGTGTAAATTTTTTATCCTTCTGTCTGTTTATCTGTCCGAGCTAATCTTCGAAATGGCTAAATCGATTGTGATAAAACTTTACGAACAGATAGAGAGCAATGCCATAAAGTATTTAACCTATATTTTATACGAAAGACATGTAGAATGCAATTTATTTTTTTATAAATCTAAATGACGCCACATTCATCATACCCCACCCAAAATCAGAAACCGGGGCGGATCGCTAGTACTAAAGAAAATAAATAAATGTGACCTTGGATTATCAATGAATTCTTTTCCGAACAGGTGTGTCTTGATATCGAGACCTTCAAGGAGGCACACATAGTGTTTTTGTGCCGGCATCGAAGCTCTAACGAAGCAAAGGACCGAGCGGAGAAATATTTCGCGCTCTCCTATTTGCGTCTTATGCAGAGGGAGGGGACCACCACGCCCGACATGCAACACAATCTTTGTGTATACAAGGTATTTTTGCCGTACCTTAAATTTATTAAAATTTATTTTAATCGAATTACAAACGATAGTAGCATAATGGCAGGACAGGGATCGAGAACTGAAAAGGTCGTGTGTTCAAATCCGCCATTCGATTACTGTAAAGTACCACTCCTTTTATACACAAGCATTTTAAGCTTACCAGGAACAGTTAAAGGGACTATTAGTAATGTTAATAGTATTGCTAGTATTTAAAATAAAAGGAATAAAAAGTGGTGTTAATGTGATTTGGCCCTCTCCTTACTATAAATCTTCCATTTGGTTCCTAATTGTGAGATGGACTACAGAATCGATTTTAATAAAAATTTAAGGTGCTTATTATGCAATACCGTACTATTCTTTTTTTTTCGAGTATACAATACCCTACTATATTTTTTTCGAGTATGCCATACCGTACTGTATTTTTTTCGAGATGTGCGAGATAAAGAAAATTACTGAATAAAAGTGAGGAACTATCATACCACAGCATCTCGTGGGTAAACATAAGAATAATTAATGATAGAAATTAATACAATTAGGTGTTTTAAATTTGTGAAATAAGGAAGCATCTTTTACAATTTAAATTTAATTATAAAATGTTCCTCCGGATCGGTAGTATCAATGGGCGTTCCTCAGGGCTCGATTCTTGGCCCATTCCTGTTCTTAATCTATATTAATGACTTACCTTATCTTCTAGGGGACAATCACGATATAGTATTATTTGCTGACGATACGTCTTTAAATTTTCAAACTGAAACGGCAGTCAATTAAATATGACGATGTAAATAATGCTCTATCGAAACTAGTACATTGGTTTAACGCCAACAATTTGCTCTTAAACGGCAATAAGACAAAATGTATTAAATTTACAATACCTAATGTAAAACATTCGAAAACCAATGTGCTCTTAAATGGGGAGGAGTTGAGTCTTGTGGATACCACTGTTTTTCTTGGTATTACTATTGACGCAAAGCTTCAATGGGGCCCCCATATATCTAAATTAGCAAGCAGACTTAGTTTTGCAGCATATGCTGTAAGAAAGATTAGAATTCTCACAGATGTTGAGACAGCTAGGTTAGTGTATTTTAGGTACTTTCATAGCGTAATGTCTTATGGAATTTCGCTATGGGGTTATGCGACTGATATTGAAGCTATATTTGTTTTGCAAAAGAGAGCCGTACGGGCGATTTAAAATCTAAATTGTAGAGTCCCTCAGAGAAAAATTTAAAGAAATAAACATATTAACTTTGGCATCGCCATATATTTATGAAAATGTAATGTATGTATATAAAAACATAAATAGCTTTAATAAGAATAAGGATGTTTATACCTTAAACACTAGGAACAAACATAAGCTTGTAACGCCAGTTACTAGACTCCACAGAATCAGTAATTCATTTATGGGGCAATACGCTTTTACAACAAAATCCCAGAACTTGTTCAAAGTTTGTCAATAAACAAGTTTAAAAGTTTTATTAAAGAAAAACTGTACAAAAAGGGTTATTATTATATCAAGGAATACATGAATGAAAATAACCCCTGGGAATAAGGTGATCGCCACCATGCTGGTTCTATGAAAATTCTTTAAAATTGTATAAACAAAATTATTTTTAAGTGAAATTATGTTTAAAAAAAGTACCGCTGGGTTTCTTGCTGGTTCTTCCCAGGACAGAGGTATTTTCCGAACCAGTGGTAAATAAAATAATGACTTTCAATAAGTATTATGTAATAATCCATATTGAATAAAAATCATTCTATTCTATTGTACACAAAATAAAAGAAAACTGTTTCTGATCAACAGATCGACAACAAACGGTCGGGCAGCGATGTAGAAACTGAGGCTGCTGCAGTTTGTCTCGGGTTGCCCTCTAGGAGGGACGAACTCCCAGCAGGCGCAGAGAAAGGTCTCACTAGAGGTCCCTTGTCGCTGGTTTACCGCGACTCACTCACAGTCGCCACAAAGCTATGTTCCACTAAACTCACGCAACGAGGTGAGTTCCCCAACATTATTCATGTGTACTAACATGCATTTTCTCGTATCAACAAATAAAACTTCCATGTATGAACGAATTCAAACAGTTGTTTTGGAGTCATATACGGCCCAAAGGATCATAGACATAATTGATGTAAAAAGCAAGCATAACAGAATAAATATATCCGTACACCTAATACTACTATTTTGTTTGTTACAGTGTGATCTAGTGAAAGTATTCTTATTTTAAATAACGTCCTTTTACTTTAATTTAATTAACGCTTTTCCACACTACGAATTCCTCTGTGCGTAAGAATGTACGCATAAATTGCACATCTATAGAAGAAACATGAGATGAATATAACACAATCTGTTGTAAAGCACAAGATCTTGGTCAACACGTAACGACATCCACGAAATGAGACGCTGTGTTGAATTCCCTTAAGATATTATTTATAATGTTCTTGTTTTTCTGTTTCTTCCTGCCCTTATCCCAATTATTTAGGATCCGCATATATTTATTCCTTTTCCTTTCACCTATATTAGCCGTCATCACTGCACTCTCACTCCTTTCTTACGCATATCATACATAAAATAGCCGTTTTTGATTGATCTGATTTTCTAAGGCTCTACTCTCTACTCTTATATACATCCACTTTCATTTATTGTTCTTGTTATTTAGAGGAAATCCTTGGCGTGCTAAAATGGAACACGCACTATGCAGCGGGCACATTACGCACAGCATTGGAGCGGCTGCTGCTCGTGCCGAACGAGGAACTGGTGAAGTTCCTGCAGGATATACTGGACGCACTCTTTAATATACTGACACAGGTAAGTGTGAGATTGTATGAACTGACAATAATAAAACGTTGCTAAGACTAGCAATTTATTTCAGTGACGCCTGATTAATCTGTCAAGTTTTGGACTTATACATGATATAATCCAAGAATACTTTTTTTAAGACTGGCTTTACGGCACTGGGTTCTAGCCCTTCTGAACCTGAAGTTACAATGTATAATTATCCTTCATAGTACACTGCTTCACAATATGTTGATGCGTCACATTGTGCAGCCCTTGGGAGATTTTGACGGCAACTCTCACAGAAAACCAGCGTAAAATAGCAGCTTAACGCTGCTGTGTTTCGTATGGTGAGTGTAGAGAACCGGAGACCCTTTTTACTGGCAAAGAGGCATTCCATCTTATTCATCACGGGTGACAACGCATCTGCATCTTGAGTTTTTATTGAGGATAGATGTAGATGTCTATGGGTCACAGTAACCACTTACCATGAGGTGGACTGTGTACTCGTTTGTCACCCGATCCTATAAAAAAAAACTTGACAGCTGACAGTTGGCGATGGAATCTCAAGGCGCTAAGCAGACATACACCTTATCTTGAGAATCACATCACCATCAGAGCACTTGTTTCACCGTTTCCACTTATAGTTCACATGCGCAGACACTTAATACACAAAATCGCACCACTTTTACATATCAAAATCCACTTCAAACCATTATTTAAAGATCAGCAATCCTCCGCCGTTCAAGTTTCCACCAAAACTCCCCAAGGTCACATTTGTAGAACGCTCCTAAGAGTATGGTAATATTTAGAAAGACCCCTCAGAACCAAAGAGTATATAATCAATACGTTTAGTCAGAAGCATAATTAAGTTAAGAGTTCTTTTTTAAAAGTTTTTTATAAGAATTATACTACTAAAATTTTATTAGAATTAGTTTCGTTACTAACTTACGCTTCTCTAAATTAAGAGAATTTACTTCAAATGATAAGTTTCCGCCTTTACCTACGCGTCGCGTTTACTTCTTATACTTTAGTCTATTTCCTTCGCCGCGTGAGTGTAAGAGGCAACTACAAATTTTAAAAAAAAATTAAGTGTTTACAAAAAAAGTTTGTTGTTAGTTTTTTGTATAAAGGTAAATAATTACACTGTTTGTCAAAGTTATTTGCTTATATTTTGCTTCTAAACAATTTTATACACTTTATTAAATTTCCATTTCAAATACTGTCGTTCACGTGTCACTTTATATTCTGACGAATTAACTGAAAATTAAATATAAAGTGTGAGTTATCACTATAAATCGTGTAAAAAACACAAACCTTTTCATATTCCACAAAGTCCAATGAACCAAAATTACGTTTATTTTATAATTTCGATATATAGTGAACATTATGGCGAAGTTGTTGTCAACAATAATTTAAAATTAAAATTTTTGACTTCAATATAAATTATTAAGAATAATTCAAAAACAATTGGCTAGACCTTGATCAAATTTATATGGGGACCACATGTGAAGCACCAGCTTTCAAATAAAAAATAAAAAGAATGATTGAAATCGGTTCACCCAGCAAGAAGTTATGAGGTAGCACACATTAAAAAAACATACAGTCGAATTGAGTACCCTCCTCCTGTTTGAAGTTTGTAGAAAAATGGCGTTGGTCAAAGATAGCGTAAAAAGTATATGCCTATGATTTAATATATTTTTATTTTTTTAGAGACTCTTACTGAGTAAATCGATATAATTATATTATATATTTCTTTTCTTTATGAAAATCGAGTGTTTCTATGTCCTTGTTTCTTTCTTCATAGTAGTTCTTTGATTTTGACATATGGGAATTCGTTAGATTTGCTTTAATTGTGAAAGTGACATATAATATTTGAATTTTTTTCTTTTCAGTAAACTTGTTTGGTTTTGTTATTTATTACTGCTTTAACCATTGAAATTGTTTACGCAACTTTTGATTAATAAATTGTATGATGTTGATGTTTGATGATTTTTTTTACACCATGGGCCATGGAAATAAAGGGGAGCACAAAATTTTACTGCCACCAATAACACCCACCTTTGCAATGCTGCCCTAAATATTGCATGGAGCATCCGCGTTCCACCTAGATAAAATTTAGAAAAAATGTTCCACTTTTTTTCTTCATAAATTTTTTTCTTATCACTATTACAACAAACACCGTTACAGCCTATAAAAACCCCCGCTGAACATAGGCCTCCACTATATGCATCATAGAGGATATATTTTTCATAGTTGCCAGAGTGATAAATAACATCACGGTGAAAATTTTCCAAAATAACGTTGTTTCTTCGCGCCGCCACCGTACTATTTTCTCCGTTACTCCTGTTACTGATTTAACCAAACAAAATGAACTACCTATGTTACTGTGTAACACCCTCGCCTCTTTACAAAACCCACGGAATTATATAAATATTCATACACAGCCACTACACGGTAATTGATAATTTCTCAAAACATTTTATTTATCGACAAATCATCTTGCAATCGGCGTTACTCTAGCGCTTACTTGACCTTCATACAAATAATTCGATGTTTTAATTGTTGATAATTTTTTTATTTTTGGATAAGAACATAGTAATGACTAAGTTATATTTACCTTCATTTAAAAAACATTGTCTTTGGACTGACCTACTATACTCTTTGGCTTGATCATAGTTTTGACCGTTTGTCCAATAAAATGTCGGGGCCTGAGAGGTTAAAAATATATGCACGATATGTATCCTTTTGATTGACGGGCATAGCTTTCCGGATTTTTTTCCAGATTAATGGTGGGAAATGTATTCAAAAACGTTGAACCCGAATTCCAAAGATATTTAGAAAAACTATGTTCAACTGTGGACTTAGAGACTGGTGACTTATGTGGGTACATTAGTCCTATGATTAGTAGTATGATGGTATTTCTTATGGTCAATTAAAAATGATGCTTTTTTTTTTTTACTATTCCGTTAAAAATATGTATTTTATGTTTTTACGTGCGAGGTGAGTAAACATGTCGATTGGGACGAGAAATGGATGTATTCTATCACACACACAGCAAATATACTATCACGTTGTCCAAAATCGCTAAGCTTTTTTGGTGAGGTCCTTAATAATCGCAGATGTCATAGGTTCATTGTGAAATAATTAAGTCTCCGATCGTTGTCGCATGTTTTTATATTCAATAATAGGAATGTAGAACATTCTAGGTCAATCCAGATTATTCCACTCTTTCAATGGGAATGTACTAGAGCCACAGAATAAATAATAGAACCATGTACTAGCACTCGCGATTACATTAAAATATGTCCAAAGGAGAAAAGGCTTTTTGCGTATGAAGTTTTTCATGCGTTTTCCTTGCATCAATAGTTTACAATACTATTCTACTTTTATGTCTTCATATTTTATTAATTTGACAGAGGCCATTGACCTTTATCTTCGTTACAGGACGCTATAAGTCTTAAAATAACGTATCCAGTCACACTAAACACGATTATACTTCAGAAAATAAGTAATTTTACACAAATTTGTCGAACATTACTTTTGGTATATTATCTATAGGTGGAGGAAGATCAGGAAGGCTACACGGAACAGAGCTACGGGGTACTTGTCTTCGAGTGTCTCTTGAGGGTGATATCGCTGGTCGCCGACCACAAGTTCCAGCACTTCCAGCCCGTGCTGCATGTCTACATAGACGAGAGCTTCTGCGACGCGTTGGCTTATGAGTGAGTGGTTTTGTGATACTTATATGTCGAAGGATTTTAGGCATTAATTTAGTGTACCGTGCAGTGACGGCTTAAGAATATCCACTACCCCATGTCGTCCCCTGGGTTTCGTAAAAGGCGACAGAGTGAAAGTAAAACAGGAGATGGACAGCAGCATTTTCTGGTAACAATTCAAAATGATAGAACAACTGCGTTCTCGCCTGCCAAGCGTAGCAACTATGGTGAAATCCTCTCTACGAGGCAATCTATGATAAAGACCTGTGTTCAGTAGTGGACTTTTGATAGGCTGTAATGTATGGATGGAAATAAACGAAGGTCTTTCATCTATTGAGGGGTAAACAACACACATATTTTTTATTCGAGTATGCCTTCAGATATAACGCCGACTTAACATGTATCATTAGGTAAATGGAACAGTTCTAAAAGCTCTTCAATCACAATATAATTACAATGAGAGTGCGATACAAAGTATTTAGGATTGTTCCATATTAGTATATAGACCAAAAAAAAATTTCAACAGTGGTAAACTAACTAAATAAATAATGGCGTTTTGATTTCTATGAAATTGACCTACTCTAAGATCTAACACGACACGATTAAATTTGGTCCTTCGAGAAAATACATAATATTCTTACACATATAAACTGTTCTTTCCTGAAATCACATGTATCATTAGGTAAATGGAACAGTTCTAAAACCTTTTCAATCACAATATAATTGAGAGAGCGATACAAAGTATTAAGGGTTGTTTCCCATTTGTACATAGACCCAAAAAATTGTTAACAGTGGTAAATTCTAAATAAATATAAATAAATAATGGCCTTTTGATTTTTAATAATGCTAAAGTCGTTATGTATCGATGATGGAAACGACTAGCTTGCTCAAAATATTGTAGAACTTAAGAATCTAATAATCACTTAAGTTTAGAGTATTACTGTCATAGGTATAACTATCTAGTTTACTTCACACGTGAAATAACGAGACGGCGAGTAGCGTTAAAAGTACTCACGTTTGGTACTGCGAGTGTCAAATCACCTGACAAGTGAGACAATGAGGGCTAATAATTTTCTGCTCCCCAGATGTCGCCAGTTGACACTGAGGTAAAGTTTTTTGTTACACAATGTAATTTAATTGAGAAGTTGATTTTTAACAAAAGTTTATCAGTTTCTAGAGTATTATATTAATACACTAAACAATGCGTTAGTGGTTTGTTTTTTAATTTTTTGCACATTTTTAACTTTTTTTAATGTTTCTACTTTTATGAATATCTGTGATTTGGTTTATTTATTTTTGTTATCAATATAAGATATAGTTAATAGTACAGAAAGAAATAATAACTTTTACATTTTCCTGACAAATTAACTTCCTCGCTATGAAATATATATTATACCTCACTTTCTATTGGCTCCGCCCTGGTGGCAGAAAAAGTCGTGGATGCCCTCATTACGATAAATCGTTCTACGGGGGATGTCTATGTCCGCAGTGGATTAAATTTACGACGCCGCCGTGGCGCAGTAACTTAGCAATGAGTTGCAACATTGATGGGCGCGGGTTCAAATTTTGCACGGAACAAGTATTTGTATGGTCTAGAATAAATTAAATGTCTGGATATTTGTCATTGTGAAATTTATGTATTTAAAAATGTTACTGTGGGGTAACGTTTTTTTGAATAATAAATCAAAAAATTTATGCGGGGTTGTAGTAAAGCATGATTGCGACGGGTGCAGGAAGCTGATCTCGGTGATGTCGTGGGTGGTGCGCGCGGCGGACTGCGGCGAGGCGGCGCTGAAGCGGCTGCTGCTGTGCATGAAGTGCCTGGAGAACCTGATGCGCCTCGTCGTGCGCAGCACGCAGCTGCGCGCCGCGCTCGCGCACCCGCCGCACACGCCCCGCGCCCCGCACGCCACCTGCCCGCAGCTGGAGGTAAGCTGCTGCTGTGCATGAAGTGCCTGGAGAACCTGATGCGCCTCGTCGTGCGCAGCACGCAGCTGCGCGCCGCGCTCGCGCACCCGCCGCACACGCCCCGCGCCCCGCACGCCACCTGCCCGCAGCTGGAGGTAAGCTGCTGCTGTGCATGAAGTGCCTGGAGAACCTGATGCGCCTCGTCGTGCGCAGCACGCAGCTGCGCGCCGCGCTCGCGCACCCGCCGCACACGCCCCGCGCCCCGCACGCCACCTGCCCGCAGCTGGAGGTAAGCTGCTGCTGTGCATGAAGTGCCTGGAGAACCTGATGCGCCTCGTCGTGCGCAGCACGCAGCTGCGCGCCGCGCTCGCGCACCCGCCGCACACGCCCCGCGCCCCGCACGCCACCTGCCCGCAGCTGGAGGTAAGCTGCTGCTGTGCATGAAGTGCCTGGAGAACCTGATGCGCCTCGTCGTGCGCAGCACGCAGCTGCGCGCCGCGCTCGCGCACCCGCCGCACACGCCCCGCGCCCCGCACGCCACCTGCCCGCAGCTGGAGGTAAGCTGCTGCTGTGCATGAAGTGCCTGGAGAACCTGATGCGCCTCGTCGTGCGCAGCACGCAGCTGCGCGCCGCGCTCGCGCACCCGCCGCACACGCCCCGCGCCCCGCACGCCACCTGCCCGCAGCTGGAGGTAAGCTGCTGCTGTGCATGAAGTGCCTGGAGAACCTGATGCGCCTCGTCGTGCGCAGCACGCAGCTGCGCGCCGCGCTCGCGCACCCGCCGCACACGCCCCGCGCCCCGCACGCCACCTGCCCGCAGCTGGAGGTAAGCTGCTGCTGTGCATGAAGTGCCTGGAGAACCTGATGCGCCTCGTCGTGCGCAGCACGCAGCTGCGCGCCGCGCTCGCGCACCCGCCGCACACGCCCCGCGCCCCGCACGCCACCTGCCCGCAGCTGGAGGTAAGCTGCTGCTGTGCATGAAGTGCCTGGAGAACCTGATGCGCCTCGTCGTGATAAATAAACATTGTAACTTCAGTCTCAGAAGGGCTAGAACCCGGAGCCGTAATAAAAGAAATGATAGTAAGTGACAACTGCAGTAGTTAACATCTGTAACCATCTTTAAACCTTTGAGTACTAAGATGGAATGCCTATCAGCTCGTTATACTGGATCTCTACTTTCTCCACACCAGAACATAACAGTGAAAGCACTAGTATTTAGCGAAAGAAATAGAAATGTTATACTACGAGCGACAACCGCCTGCATAGTACACCTAATGGTATATTAATACTGGGGCCCATAATAGAATATCTCGTTACTTAAAAAAGGGTCTCCGGTTCTTGTCACTCACAAAACTCAAGACCATAGCATTACGTATGCTCTTATTTTGCATCTAATGAACAACTTGGACGCTAATGCAAGTAGCATTCGCAGATACGTTAAGAAATATCCAAAAATCTTATTGTATCTTTCTTTTAGTAATTATAATAAGCATCCGAAACACTGGATACAATATTAATAATCAAAGTAATAGTCAAGTTAGTAAGTCAAGTAAAGTCCAAAATAGTTTCACAAATCCAAAAGTGCACGCCTCATGAGCGTTTCATTTAATTTTAGTGAGAATTGTAAAGAATTGTATTTGTTTTTGTTTTTTTACAATATATTATTTACGTGTTTTAAACTTAGCGCTCTATTATTTTAACAGGTAGTATCACCCACAGGTAAAACATTACTAATGTTTACTAAAATAAATCGATTACACAAAGTATAAACTCGATATAGGCTGTATGGTCCTTTGTCTATCAAGGGCTAAAAAAATATAAAAGCGCCTTTAAATTTTTAATAGCAATAAAACTTATAATATTTGAAAATTATTTTATTAACAAACTATGCGTGAAGGTAATATTTTTTATTACCCGGTCTCGATACGTCAATTTTTTCGCAAGTTATCGTGACCATATACAAAATCAACATCTTTTTCAAAACTCGTTTTTTCTTCAAAGTAGCAATTTAAAATTATTTTTTAGAAAATATAAGGTAGATTAATTAGTGTTATTTTTTTCATGATATACGGCTATTATCGTATATGTGCAATATGGTTATGATAGAGGCATTTTAAATACACAAAATTGCTTGACCTTGATGTGTTGAGGAGAGTAAAACACTCTTAACGCTTCGCATTATGAAGCGTGCAATATTTCATGTTGCAATTTTTTTTCGAAGTATAATTTTTTGTCATAATTTTTATGTTTAATATAGCCCAATGCATTAGTAAGATAAAGTGGTAATGGACCAGCCATATACTTTGAAGAACCGACAACCAATGGCTGAAAATGGTTCTAGACTAGGGTAAGAAGGAAAGTCTCATATAATAAGCGAAGTGTAGGGCGGCCTCTCACTATATGGAGTGACGACCTGGTAAGAGACGCAGCAAGTCGATGTTGCGAATTCAATCTCAATATAGTTCTGCATGGAATGTGAATGTCCTCGTTTCTTAAGCAAATACCTTTCTAACATTTCCAGGAATTTCTGGAGGCGTTGGTTTGGCTTATGCGTTGCGGCGACCACGCCCTCACCTGTCAGGGCTCCGCGTTGAAGTATCTCCCACATGCGATACCGCACGCCATCAAAATTTTTCCCGAAGTTGAACTCAGGTGAGTTGCATATTCTTTATACATTAATTCATTCTATGATATTATCTAGTGACTTAAGAATCGCTCGGGGTTAGCGTAAAGCCAGTGCTATAATGTTTTTTATTTAATATTGACTGGGCAGACCCAGGACGTAGTCTTGCCAATATTTAATGAAGAAAATTAATTATTATTATTAATAAAATTATTAAATAAAAATATTTTTAATGGATTATCCGATATTAGGTTAAGTGTGCGTAGGTTTTCTGCGAAATTATAGTGATGCGTCAATTTTTCCACAATAATTCATACTAATCTGTAAGGGACGAAGATCTGACGACCGCCTAAAGGCGGCAAATTTCTTTAAAAAAACTGAACTCAAATTTCACAGACTGAATGGGGAACGTTTAGCAATTATTACCATTTCAACATTGATTTAAATAAAAAGGAATATCTACTAAGCCGAGAGCCTAAACAATAACTTAAAATTCATTAAATAGTCTTTGAAATTCTTTTTTACGACGGCGACACTGAAAGTTTTTAAAACTGGCCACTTGTAAACGACATAATAAAAAAATAAGTTAAAGTTTTGTAAATGGAACTTCTTGCCAATATTATTGTGTTACATACACACATACATTTTATTAATATGTCATTTGTTTACGATTTGGCGGCAAATTGAAAATTGTCTGTGTCACGTCAGCATGAATTTAACGCGAAAAAATTTTTGTACAATGATTTTTATGACTTTCGATGTCATTTAAGTCAACAAGAAAGTTATGATAGACATCGATTGGCCTTTCATGATGAAGCCCCATGTCGTGCCACTGTTTACAACTGGTTTAATGAGTTTAAACGTGGTCGCACTAATCTCACCGATGATTTATTTGCATGAGGGACGGCCTTCTACGGCGACGATTGAAGATAACACCAGTGTTGTACGACGTATGATAGAGACTGACAAAAGAGTGACTTATCAGCAGATTCGGACAAGCTTAGGCATCGGTATGAGTCAAGTGCACAAAATCCTCCATGAACATTTAGCGGTCAGGAAGCTTTGTGTCTGGTGGATACCCCATAATTACACAGAGGCCGAAAACTCCGTCGTGTTGATTTGTGACGTGAAATGGTTCAAAGATTTAACGGAGGTGACTCAAATGTTCTGTTCGACATACATACGGGTGACGAAAACTGGATTTATTGTTATGATCCTGAAACTAAGAGACAGTCTGCTGTCTGGGTGTTTTCTTCCGAGGAGTGGCCAACTAAATTCAAGAGGTCGAAGCGTGGGAAAAAAGATGGTGGCCTCGTTCTTCGGAAGAACAGGTCATTACGCAACAATTGTTTTAGAGGATCGAAAAACAGTTACTGCAGAGTGGTACACTAACAATTGTTTGCCACTTGTTTTGGAAAAAGTTCGGGAGAAACGACCTCGCACTAAGATCCTCCTTCACTACGACAACGTAAGGACGAGTGGGCAGTGTTTTTCTCAGTGGTTCCATCGGATGCAGCTATGTATTGATGTAAATGGACACTATTTTGAAAAGATATAATAAAACTAATAACTTGCTAGTTTGTTCAGTTTTTTTTTATTTTCTAAGAACTTTCAGTGTCACACTTCTACTTATTTTCTTCTTCTTTCTTCTTCAAAATAAAAAGGAGTCACGTTTCATGTATAACAACTTTAGTTTTTCATTTTTAAAAACAATTATTTACAAAATAAAATTGACCGGCCATGTTATTGTGGGGGCGGGATAGAGCACTACTTTTTCTGTATGAATGAGTTTGTATACGTACTCCATGTTAAGGTGTCGCAATTATTTTTGTAAACACAATAAAACAGTTTAATTTATATTTCCGATTGTTGTGAAACTTCATCTTTATTGTTGTGACTTCGTTCACAATTTTTATTTTAAATTATTAATTTATTTTTATCAAAAATTCAAAAAGACGATCACGATTTTTGATGTCATTTATATACATAACAACATCAGTGTCCTTGACAATTTTTGATAAAAGAAAATAAATAATTGAATATAAACAAGTACCCGTGTAGTGACGGCAAAAAATACTCACTACCCAATGTCTTCCCGTGGGTGTCGTAAAAGGCGACCGAGGGAAACTGAGGCAGAGGATGGACAGCAGCATCTTTCTGATAATAGCAAAACAGCAATAAAAAAAAACTGCGGTTGCCAACCCGCTCGCCAAGCGTGGCAACTATGGCAATATAACCCCCACATGAGAGTAACGAAGAGACGGCCTCCAGGCCCCGGCGGCCCCGCTATTCCTGGCTACGGAGGTGACCATGGTAACGGCGGGGCAGGGGGTGCTAAGAATCTCCGGTGGAGGTTCGGTTGCCACCTACGATGACTCGACCTGGCAACTTATAACGCACGCACCCTGAGGACTGACGAGAAGATCCTAGAGCTGGAAGAAGAGATAGACAAGTTGCGCTGGAATATCATAGGACTATCCGAAGTCCGAAGAGAGGGGGAGGACACGGTAATCCTCGAAACCGGCAACTTGTTCTATCACCGGGAGGGCGATCATCTGTCCCAAGGAGGTGCCGGATTTATCGTCCACAAGTCTCTCGTTAACAACGTTGTAAAGATTGGGAGTGTGTCGACGAGGGTTGAGTGCCTTATACTCAGAATCACCAAACGGTATTCGCTGAAGGTCCTACATGTTTACGCACCAACCTCGTCACACCCCGATGAGGAGGTGGAGGAAATGTATGAGGATATTTCTAGAGCCATGCATTCCTCCAAAACCCACTATACGAGGTTAATGGGAGACTTCAACGCAAAACTAGGTACAAGAGAGACGGTGAGCTGAAGAGGGAAGAAGTAGGGAAATTCGGAATAGGGCAACGGAACCCAAGGGGCCAGCAGCTGGCCGACTTCATGGAGAAAGAGGGACTCTTCATGATGAACTCTTTCTTCCAGAAGCGGCCCCACAGGAAGTGGACCTGGTCGAGCCCCGACGGTTCGACAAAAAATGAGATTGACTTCATTATGACGACCAGACGACAACTGTTCAGTTAATTCTCAGTGATCGCGAGGGTGAAAACCGGCAGCGATCACCGAATGGTGAGAGGTACACTGAACCTAAACGTTAATTTCGAGAGGTCACGTCTAATGAAGTCAAATACTAACCTTTCAACTCGAGCTACGAAACCGTTTTCAGTGCCTAGAAGACTACAATGCAGTGGACGATATGAATGACAAGCTCGTGGAAACTGTCCATGCGGTCGGATCTAAGTTTTGTAAGACCCGCCGCAGAAGAACACAAAAACTCTCCGATCACACTCTTAATCTCATGGCTGTTAGACGCGATATGAAGCTGCAGTCTTCAGTAGATTTGACAGCATACAGGCAACTGAACAGACAGATCTCGAAATGCATGCGGCAGGACTTACGCAACTTTAATACTCCTGGTATTGAAGAAGCGATCAAACGGAACCAGGGCTCCAAAGTCTTTGCTAGAGATCTGGCTGCCAGAACGAACCAACTGTCGAAGCTGAAGACCGAGTGTGGCAGCGTCATTTCCGAGACACCTGAGATTTTGAGTGAGATTGAGAGGTTCTATGGGCAGCTGTATACATCATCGTTGGAGCCACATGCAAGTGTGAGTAACGATCCAATAGCGAGTCTTATCCGACATTATTCCGATGATATCCCGGACGTCAGTCTGAGCGAGATTAGAATGGCTCTCCAGCACTTTAAAACGGCAAGGTCCCAGGCGAGGATGGAATTGAAAGCGGGTGGAAAACCGGTACTTGAAGTCCTTCAGAAGCTCTTTAATTCCGTCCTCCATGGTGGCATTACACCGGAGGCGTGGAGTAGAAGTGCGGTGGTCTTGTTCTTCAAGAATAGAATAGAATAGAATAATTTTTTATTCAGTATACATTACATGTGTAATTCTTATTGAAAGTCATTTTTTACTTTACCACTGGTTCGAAAAAAAAAACCCTCTGTCTTGGGAAGAACCAGCAAGAAATCCAGCGGGACTTTTTTTTTAAAATAAATTTTTCACTATAAATGATTACGAACTATTTACAAAATTTATTTTAGAAACTGCTTGGAGCGACCACCTCATTACTCGGGGTTATTATCAACCATGTATTCATTTATACTATAATAACCCTTCTTATACAGTTTCAGTTTAATAAAACATTTAAACTTGGTAATAGAGAGAACCTCTACACTTTCCGGGACCTTGTTGTAATAGCGTATACATTGTCCCAAGAATGAATTACTGACTCTGTGAAGTCGAGAAACTGGCATCACTAGCTTGTGTTTGTTCCTAGTGTTTACAGAATGTATATTCCTTTTTTTTACTAAAACACTCTTTATTTTTGTGAACATACATTAAATTTTCGTAAATATACTGAGAGGCCAAAGTTAATATATTTATTTCTTTAAATTTATCTCTAAGAGACTCGCGGTTTTAGATTGTAAATAGCTCTAATGGCCCTCTTCTGTAAAACAAAAATAGTTTCTGAATCAGCCGCATTTCCCCGTAGCAAAATCCCATAAGACATTATGCTATGGAAATAACTGAAATAAACTAATCTAGCTGTCTCTACACTAGTCTCTAATCTTTTTTACAGCATAGGCTGCAGAACTTAGTCTGCTTGCTAATTTGGATATATGGGGGCCCCACTGAAGCTTTGCGTCAAGAGTGATGCCAAGAAAAACAGTGGATACAACAGGGCTTAATTCCTCCCCATTTAATAACACATTGGTATTCAGATTTTTAACATTCGTTGTTGTAAATTTAACACAATTAGTTTTATTTCCGTTCAAATGCAGATTATTAACGTTCAACCAATGCACTAATTTTGATATAGCATTATTCACTTCGTCACATTTAAATGATTGACGTTTAAGTTTAAAAATCAACTAAGTATCATCAGCAAATAATACTATATCATGACTATCCCGAAAAGCGACAGCGCTCTCTTGAAGAACTACAGACCGATTTCCCTTCTGAGCCGCGTCTACGTGCTGGTTTTCGAGAGTCATTACGAATCGTCTCGCGCGCAGGCTCCGAGGAGTAGAATTTGCCACTATGTCTGGCGTATGTAGACTATGAGAAAGACTTTGATTCCGTCGAAATTTGGGCGGTGCTGCAGTCCCTTCAGCGATGCGAAGTTGACTGTCGGTATATCGCATTGCTGAAGTGCTTGTACAGTAGAGCCAACCAGAGTACGAAACCTATCCAATTGCAGAGAGATGTGTAAGACAGGATGACGTGATATCCCCGAAACTCTTCACCGCTTCATTGGAAGACGTTTTCAAGATTCTGGACTGGAAAGGATACGGGATGAACATCAATGGCGAGTACATCACTCACCTTCGATTTGCCGACGATATACTCTTTATGGCAGAAGCGCTGGAGGACCTAAGCACTATGCTCAATGACCTCATTAGTGTTTCCCAACGGATAGGTCTTAAGATGAACATGGACAAAACAAAGATCATGTTTAATGTCCATGTCACACCTATGCCGGTAGTTGTTGGAAGCACTAAGCTCGAAGTTGTTGACGAGTATGTTTACCTGGGACAAATAGTCCGACTAGGTAAGTCCAACTTCGACCGAGAGGTCAATCGACGGATTCAACTCGGTTGGGCAGCGTTCGGGAAATCACGGCACATCTTTTCGTCAGGTATACCTCAAAACTTGAAAACGAGACTGTACAACCAGTGCATGTTGCCAGTGATGACCTATGGAACTGAGACGTGGTCCTTCACTGCTGGCCGGATGAGGAAGCTCAAGGTCGCTCAGCGAGCTATGGAGAGGGCTATGCTCGGAGTTCTCTGCGTGATAAACTCAGAAATGAGGATATCCGCAGTAGAACCAGAGTGACCGACATAGCCCAACGGATTAGTAAGCTGAAGTGGCAATGGGCCGGCCATATAGCTCGAAGAACCGACAACCGATGAGGAAAAAGATTCTCGAGTGGCAGCCTCGTACCGGCAGGTGAAGTGTAGGGCGTCCCCCAACTAGATGGAGTGACGACCTGGTAAGATATGCAGGAAGTCAATGGATGCAGGTGGCTCAGGATCGTGCTTTGTGGCATTCCTTGGGGGAGGCCTATGTTCAGCAGTGGACTTGTGAAGGGCTGTAATGATGAATGATTATGAAACAAGTACAAGGGCTTGTCTAAACCACAAAAATGACAATACGACAGATTTATTTAAAATCAGTTAATATGTCTCTTGGTGTTTGTTGAGGGATTGTATTGTGTCAGATGTTTTATATTTTCACGTCTTTATTATTTCTCCAGTCAAATATGGAACAAATTATAATAACTGACATTTATAGAGTAAGTGATTGTTGATAAGATAAGATTATTCTTCCGTGATTATTAAATAATAATTTTAAAACTTATTCAATCAAATCAAATCAAAAATCTTTATTCTCAAACCAGTAATACTTAAAATTAAATACATTATTGGAACACTCCTTTTAAGTTAAGAAACTTGTGTTAGGAGGCTCCGCTCTTCCCGTCTTTCATTTATATAAATTAGTGTTTAGAACTTCATTTAATTATTCATTTAATAGCCTATGAAAATTTTTAGAAATTTCTTTTTTTTTTGTGTAATTATTTAGTAGAGAGAGTAATTGTATATTAATTGGTTTTTTTATACTCGTACCTTGTGGTTATGTTGGCTTATTTAAGTAATATACGTGAACATTTGTGTGCTTGAAGCTTTGTGGTCATATTTTTTAATGTCAGTTTGTTTGAACGGATACTTAACATAGAATAATTATTCACTGATGGAAAGTAGAATATTTCCTTGGTTCTGCAGTGAGTGTGGGCAACTTAAGAAAGACAGCAAACTGACATGTTTTTCCGTTTAGTACGAGTAAGTTAACTTGATTGGCGAAAGACATGTTTGTATAGAATATCAACGAAAAATAACAGTGTAATGCTGCCGTGGGCGATCATAGTTGTACGTGTGTGTACGAGCATTCAATCGAACATAATGTCAACCTTGCAATTCGTTCTTTATATATTATAAATACTGTAACATTACAATCTATTATAATAAATGTGCGGTCGTGTGATATAGAATAAAAATATTTTGTTTAATATACATTACATGTAATTTTTATTTAAAGATCTTTTTACTTTACCACCGGTTCGGTAAGAAATCTCTATCCTGGGAAGAATCAGCAAGAAATCCAGCGGGACTTTTTTTAAGTTAATTTTACAATATAAAAGGTTGTACAAACTATTTACAAAATTTATTTTAGAAACAGCTTAGAAGCGACGATCTCATTCCCAGAAGTATACAGTTTATGTTTAATAAATATTTAAATATGGTAATAGAGAGACCTTGTATATTTTTCGTATTTTCTTGTAATAGTTTATACGTTGTTCGAGAAACTATGTTCGAGTGTATGGTTGCATAGGCAGCGCGAAGTGTGTTTACGGGCGTGTGAGGTGTGTGTGTGTGTGTATATAGAGGTAGAGGTAGTGGTGTGTAATTCGCGGTGTGCGTGTGCAGCGCGTACTGCGTGCTGGCGCTGGACGCGCTGCCGCTGGGGCGGCTGAGCAAGCAGCGGCTGCTGGCGCTGCTGGAGCTGGCGCGCGGGCCGCTGGCGCGCGAGCCGGCCGCGCGCGCGCGCCTGCTGCCGCACCTCGCCGCCACGCTGCGCGCGCTGCTGCGCGCCTCCGCGGAGGTACGCACACGCACACACACGTGCACGCACATACACACACATATACACATGCAACAACTCGACCACTGCACGCGTGACGATCTCCTACCACTAGTGTAATAAATACATGTACTCCTAGGTTTAGTACACAGTTATAAAGATATATTGTCACGTGTGTTTGTTTTGATTGATATAGCATGTGCATCGCCTGGTAAGGACGCGTGTGGTGATCGCATCAATACAAACGACTGTCTCGTTACAATTACTCTTTATTATTGCCCGCTAATCCTAAGAATACATGTATTTATTACACTATTATATACAAATATCACATTACTTAGGAGAAACCTATCTTTAATAGTGGACTTATAGGGAACTATAACGATGATGACAATTACTTTTTATACGACATACATAATACGAAGCATAATATCACTGACAATTCCATTCTTGTCACCCGTTCTCACATATATTTTGACGTACACATGATATAAACACAAACCACATTATTCACTTACACATCCTCGCGCATATGTATATTTAACGTATATCTTATAATAAATTTGCACACCATTTCACGGACTCGGGAACCGTGTCTTACCTACATATCGACTTGTAACTAAGTATGTTAAACGTAAATAACGTACTTGTATACTACATACAAAGTTATTTACAAAAATTCTTAAGTCACTACCATCACGGAAATTTCCTACATTATTATAATAAATACATATTTATATGTAATCATTTTCATAACGATTAACGCATCGACTTTAATATTCATCAAAGTAACACACATTACACATAAATAAACAAAAATTCATTGTTTTGAAAAAATGAACTCAGCCTAACACGAATAATTTCTCGCTATTTAAACAACGCCATACATACAATGTGGATTAACAGTGTGTCCGTCCGTAAAACAAGTCACCTGTAATGGTATGTACGCACTTGCACTGTATCGGTGAACTGAGCTATTGCCGGTTCACTACGGTCGAGTTTTGGGCGAGGTGTTCACAACTCAAACGAAAAATAAATGCGAACCAACACAAAGCTAAACATTACAATATAATAATAAAAATATTGCAGCAGATTTCGTATGTTTAATTTAAAAAATTTTGGTGTTTGTTCGGATTCGTTTGTTTGGATTTTGGTGTTCAAAAATTTTTATCGCGCAATTCTCGCCCTTAACTCAACTGCTTTAGAGCGAGAGCCGCTGGCAGTCGTTCGCGGTCGCTGGTCACGAGGTAAGCACGCACGCATGCATGACGTAACATATTTCTGTTGTTTTATATCTGTACGCACGCGATGAAATTGTGGATTGATTTTAATTGAACGATCAGTAATATGAATCCTAGGACCTATTTTGGAGAGGTTTTTCTTTTCTTTTCTTTTAATTCAACAATTTCGTGAAGTAAAATTTTACAATTTTGTTTAAAAAAGTCAATCCTAAAACTTCATCACATCTTGCGTAAGGAAATGCTCACATCACTGTTTTAACTAACCGAGCAATAGTCACTAACAAAGTGTTAACAGTCATTGTATCTATTAACTCTGAGGTTACATATTGGTAAGATGGTTATAAAGTATTAAGATCCCTTTCATATTTTTGTTGGGTTTTCAATTTGTAAAACCTATTTTTATTTAGTAAATTTAAGATTTTCCTTTGATAAAATAAAGTGGCAGGAAATTATTTAGTCCTTTTCAGGTTCACCATTAAAAGTTGCTTTTGACACTTTAGTACGTTAAATATGTCACGTAATCATCAAATGTAATACAATGCTCATATCTAATAAAATAGTATTGTACTCATATGAAATCCTACTCGAAATACTAATTTAAAGAATGAAATTGATGAAAATTAATGAGCACTGTAGTATAATTTAACACAATTCAAAACAAATTTGGCATCTTTATCAAATTCATTCTTAATTTAATAAAAATGCACCCACGCGCACAAGCATCGTGAGGTATGCACACAAGCTGTGACCTAACTTTACCATTAAATAAACCGGTAGAGACAGCCTCACACTGATATATAAACACATATCTTCACATTTTATGTACGTATTTATTTATATTATGTGTATTGTGTGTGTAGCATGATCAATTGAAATTCAAGTGTGTTTGTGTGTGTGTGTTTATGTGTGATATATGTAAAAATATTTTCACTGGGGTTGTTTTAAAAGAGAGATAGGTAAAGTACTTGGGAACAAGAGCTTGGTCGGGTATTGCTAGGGTGGGTAGATTTTGGGATATATTTCATAATGTTTCATTTTCACATTTAAAAATGTGTATGGCCTAGGCGACTTACCTACTACGAATCTATACTTTGAGTTTTTGTATTCTGTATCAGATTGGAAGAAGATAAATTGCCAGAAAGAACAATATGGTCAAACTGTTGAGAACATACAGTAAAAAATATCGAGAAATATATTTTTAAATTCATTCATATTGTTCAGGTTAGTTGTAGCTAATGCACAAATTATGTTTCGTGTTGATGTTCACTTGTGTGTGTATGTGTGTGTGATGTCACTGTATCAGACTAACCTATTTAATGTGTAGTCTATGTTTGTATTTGTTCTATTTGTTATATGTCCTTACTCAATCACTACAAACATACAGACATTATTACATATTACATTCAATTTAACTTACATTTAAAGCTGGCCGGAACATTGCTACTTGTATGTAACACTGTAGTTACACTTTTGGCTTTTTATTACACATAATGATTTAGTTTGCAAAATCAAAGTTTTGTTATATAATTTTTTTCTCTTCCAACTTTTATTCATTGGTGTGCCATATAGAAAGAAACGCGTTTGTTCGGACCAGCTGTTATTAAAATATATAAAATAAAATACGTAACAATTTATTTATACACTTGCAACAATAATTCATATAATATATATTTATTTTTTGATTTTAGTGTAACAAAAAGTTTACCGTGTTTTACATGACCATTAAAAATATTAACGTAATAATATAAAAGCGAGCTTTCGATGTCGCTTGACAGCTAAATTGTGTGCAAACTCTTGATGTTGCATGTACAGTCGTCTACAAATCCGGCCTAACTAATACGCTGATAGAGGCGTTATATAAAGTACCGTATAGCGTATAGTTATCACGCTTGATGTGTAGACGACTGTACTACATTTGCGAACTGTCTATTTCTTGTGTTTTGGCAGTTTGCGAATGTAGCGGGCTGATTGTTATAACCGTAATGTTTTACATATCGATAAATTAATCGTCCCTAATTGATTTCAAATAAATGTCGTTTTTAAATATCATTGCAGTAAATTGAAATCAAGTAAATGATGTTATAACGGTTGGCCTTACGTTACCGTCCACTTCTATCAAATAACCGCCACAATGAAGAGTATAAAGTTGACCACACTATCATTTAAAAAAAAAAAGAATGAGATTCAATAACAGTGCAATTATTTTAAGCCCTATTTCTTTTGAACGTGATGAAGTTTTATGCTCTTTAAAACTTACCGAGTGCACACTGTTTCGTTTTATTTGAAGGACTTTTCGAACATTGGGTTTTGACCTAAAACGAATATTTATAATAAATACGGATGTAATTTTTTGGTGTAATATAAAAGTAATTAATTCAATACACTCTAATTCGCTCTTTTTGCTTCGATATTTGTGATTCGCTGCATGATTTTAAATTGTTTAGTTGTGTATTTATGTTATTTATTTATTTTCAATTTTGTATATTTTTCTATTTTCTCATATTTCTTCAATCAATTCCAATATTCGTTCTTCTTTCTTTTTTCCATACATATTAAGTGTCTTATTCTATTACAAGGGAAAATAACAATAAATAATGCAGAAAACAAAATATTGGCAAATCTTGTCTTGGTACTGAACTTTATTTAACTTCCTCTCTTGTGTCGCTGAGATCTTGAGTAAAAATAATGCATTATTAAATAAATATTTAAAGCTAAATAAATGTGTGTTGACTTATCATACATTCACTTACGATCATTCCCTAATACCATAGATTAATTAAATATTAGTTATGGTATATATGTACCATAAGTCTATAAAATAAAACATTAAAACATAAAAATGGTCTATGTTGATCTCGTTCAGAGTACATCCAAATCAGCCATCGTATTGAGAGTAGGCATGCGCGGGTGAGTGGTGGCTCGCGTTATAAGTTAGTTCTTGCGCGTGGAAATTCCAGTAGTTACGCTCATAGCCTACTTCGATCTGGCATGCATAACTTCATCTCCTGCAGAATAGTTGAGTTGTTTAACTTTTCCCTGTAATATCTTAAAGAAGTGTGTGGTAAGCGATATTTCCACTTTACTGTATGTAAAGAAAATAATAGACATAAGAAAGAAATAAGAATAAGACACATTAAATAAAACTGATTTTACGGATTTTGTCGAGCTTAATTTTTTGACATTTCGGGTGTATTATAACACCCGAAATGTCAAAAACCCATGGTCACGAGGATTACTGAACTGTGATTGCTGTTCTTATGTGACTATTAACGAAGGCTTCTATTATATAATAGTTTCATTCATATATAATTTAGTAATGAATATATTTTTACAAACCACCTTTATACTTTACATCCGTATTTCTTAATCGGTTCCACCGTAACTTGTCAAAAAATCCCTGTGTTATGTAGTCGATAAAATTTAAATATACACGACAAAATGCCGGTTTGCATCCGAAAATATTGTTAGATGAGTGCGCTCGGTGAGTGTTGAGTGTGTTGCGGCGTGTGGTTGCGTGGACGTGTGCGGTAGCGTGCGTGCGTGTGGCAGTGCGAGCGCGAGGCGGCGCTGCGGTCGCGCTCGGCGGGCAAGGCGGCGCGCCTGCTCGGCGCCGACGCGGCGCGCCTGCGCGACCACTCGCGCCACGCGCACCTCGTACGTATACCTCCCTCCCTCCCTCCTCCTGCCTCCCCTGCCCCGCCACGCCCCAACAACTTATAGGTGATCAACTCCACTGGAACACAACGATCACGCTGCTATTAGTAATTAGAGGTGAGATGTATATAAGCATAAATCATTTTCCAAAATATCCTTAGTTGCCGAACAAATTTGTAAGTAATATAAAGGAACTCGAGGAGATGACGTCGATCACGCTGCCGGAACTGAGTTACCCCTCAAGAGTATAAAAACTCGATTGAATGACGACGATTACGCTGGTGTCTTAGTAGTTAGAGATGAAAAATGTATTTGAATAAAATGGAATAACTTTTATTCAATATAGATCACAAGAATACTTATTAAAAGTCATTTAAGCTTTACCACTGGTTCGGAAAAAAACCTCGAAAGAACCAGCAAGAAACCTAGCGGGACTAAAAAATCCACAATGTAATATTTTATACATTGAAGTTTAAAAACATTGAAAATATTTCGTATTATTTATATACAAACTTTAAAACCCAGATAATGTTATAAGTATGATATTATAACAATATAAAAGGAAAAAATAAGTTATTTCCAAGAAATATTGGCGTATTTAAAACATAAAAGTTATCAGTTTAATATTTTATTACAAAAGCTACTCTTTACATAACGGACTAGTAATAAAAACACTAGTTTTCTTGTTACCTTTGATTTAAGTTGCTAGAGTAGCAGTTTACATTAAAATTCTGGCGTTGTTGCAGTATAGGTAATAGGTACGTATAGATACTTGACGTTGCCGCGAAATTGTCCAAACGGTCGATTCTCAAATGTATGGCGTTCGCGTACTACCATACAATATGATGAAGGTGAACGCTGAAAAAATTCGAGACGCGTGTAAGGAACAAGTATTTATGCGTTCAACCAAAAACCGGTTCCAACAACTACGTCTCGCCTAAAAGTAGTTACTACTTAATGAATATAAAAAACAGTAAAACAAATATCGGTAAGATAAAAAAAAACGGTGGTAAACCAATTTTATTGTGGTTAATTTGCCACTAATTTGGAATTTGGAGTTACAAAAGAAATTTACCTGTAACTCTATTTAAGACACACATTCAACTTAATGTGGATAAATATAATTAAAAAGGTATTTTTAATTTCGTGCAGCCACGTTGAAGAAGGTACAAGGTTAGTGCTTTTGCCGTAACAAATTAATTTACGCTTGGCCTATATCGACTTTATTTATCTACTGCCTGAATTCCTTAAGGTGGCACAAGTCGCGGGCTCGAACTCGCTGGTGGGCGCGGCCAAAAAGCACGCTGTCTCACCTGGCATCGTGCCCGACAGAGATAGTATCAGTGATGAGCATATCGACACTAGTATTCACGCATGTCTTGTTCGTACGGTGTTCCGAACCGTTAGAATAAAAACGAAGTTACACGAACACGATGCAACATCTATACTAATATAATAAAGCAGAAGAGGGTTTTTGTTTGTTTAAACGTGCTAATCTCTGGAACTACCAGTCCGATTTGAAAAATCTTTTTTTGGATATTATAGCCAGATTCATGTTGAATAGTATAGGCTATACAGCATTAGGCTATATATAGGAAGTCAGAAGAAAAAGCGCTGTTATGGTTCGGGATACGTAAATACAATGTTCTAGAAAAATATAGATCTTTACTCCGTCTAAAAAAAGTCCGCGATACCATATGTCTATTTCTTATATATAAGCCACAATTAGGCATTTTGTGACAAAAAAAATGAAAATTTATTTATTAGGCACCTTACGAACCAAAGTTACTTCATTATCAAGACAATTTTATGAAGATAAACTTCGTTCTTTATACCATGTTTATATAGTACATAGTTTAAGAGATAATGTAAAATTAAAATAATTCAATACCTACTTGGCTTGACGCGCAAACAACGCATATAGCCCGGTGCGAACTGAGAAGCCAGTATTGAAAGCTTCTATGAGCGAGGTTAGGTTAGCCGTTAGTTCAATCGTTATCTATATATACACAAATAAATAAAATTGAAGTGTCTGTTATAATGTCAAAATAACAGCTTTTTACTAATTGCGTATGAAACTGTATACGGTACTTATAACATTAACACAATTTTTAACATTTTTGTATGTCTGTCAGTCTGTTTGTTGCGGTTAATTTCCAAAACGGCTGGACCGACTTGGGCGGGACTTTCACTAGTAGATAGCTCATGGTATAAGAAGTAACTTAGCCTGCTTAAATTTTAGAAAAATTATTAGGTATCTTTGCAACAATATTAACGCCCTAAACTAAACGCGGACGAAGTCGCGGGGTACAGCTAGTAGCTAAAATAAATTCAAAATTAATTGAGTACTTTTATCTATCTCCCGGGTGAGCGTAGCAATGATTAGTTACATCTTTATTTCTGAACTCTTTCATTTCACGTTGCTATGGTATTTTGAAAGTTTAAATTTAATTAATTAATAAGTATAAGAGGTTGATAGCAAATTTATCAAGAATCATTTCTTGCCTACACACTTTTCATGAATCGTGTACGTTTTTCTTTAAAACTGGAAAAAACCGCGCATAATATGCCGACAGATAAAATAAAAGTAGGTACTCCATTAATCATGACAATTTTTCCATACATTAATAATAATAATAATAATAATAATAATAATCATTTATTTAAATAAAAGTACAATAATAAAGTGAAGACATACATTACAATCAAATAAAATATTTGATTGCAATTATAAAATGCTTGAACTAGGTGTCATGTCATGCCACGCATCTCGGACACGTGATGACGCGGGTGAATCCATGAAATTATTAGGTATACGTCTGTGGCTCTATATACCTAATATAGATTGCTTATTTTATTATGTTTAGTTTTCCCCGAGTGGTCATGCAGCAATCACTCAAGAGTTCGGCTTCGAACGTGTGTAACTCGATAATTATCACACGGCAACGAAATACCTGAATAAACGGTATCATATATGATATTTGGCAGCTCCGTGGCGCAGTGGCTTAGCAATGAATTGTTGTACTGGGAGCCGCGGGTTCGAATCAATCGAACAAGTATTTGTATGGTCTACAAATAATTGTTCCGGGTCTGGATGTTTGTAAACTGCCTCCACGATACAGGAGAAAATCCTAGCGTGGGGTAATGTTTTTTTGAAAAAAAAAATTCCGGACTATAGCCTATCTCTTAGCAAAATATCATCCAGATCCCTTCAGCCGTTCTGGCGTGATTGAGTAACATACATCCATTCATCCGTCCATCCAAATATCCAAACTTTCGCATTTATAATATTTAGATAATAATCGTAATTGGTCTGCCTACCTATAAATTGTTTTCAAAAATACTTACTTACCTGGCTTCTTATTTTTTTATATATACTCAATATCACTAAACGTAAACACAGGTTTTTATCAAGACAAGTGACCCATCAAGATTGTTTTCTTAGTACCGACGTACCTACCTAAAGTTTACAATTTTGTGGCCACGACGCGGCGAGGTTTTGTGACATTTTGTTGTATTGTTGATTGTAGGTATCTAGGTAATAACAGTAGGTACCTATGAAAATCCCACATAATATACTTTGTTTATCCGCCGCAAAAGTCGTCTAATAAATAATTAAACTGTTTTGTAATTCTTTATTTATTTATAACACTTGCATTGAGAGCCGTGGTAGCTCAGATGGTTAGCGCTCGCTGTCAGTATCACATTACGCGAGCAACCCGGGTTCGATCCCCGTCGGCACCAATGAAATTGTTGCAATTTTATATAGTAATCGAATATAGACTTTACTTTTTTTACTTTTATAATTATATTATATTACAGACGAAAATTTTAAAATATTGTCTGTCGTGCAAAACGCATCATCTCTTTCAATTATATCAATTTCCATGCCGTCTTTTGTCTTTGGCGTTCAAATTACAAAATAGCAAAACTTTTCGTTTCGAATAAAACTCGAATACTTATAAGCGCGCGTCACCGCCTGTGCATGTGTGTGTAAGCATCGTCCTCCCGCACCGCACCGGGGGAGACATTATTCAGTGAGATGCACGATAATTCATAGTAACATGCGCGCGTAAAAAAATACGAAAAGGCCTTTGGAAGAAGGGGTTTTATGAAAAAACCACTGCATTAATCAATTACAAATAAAATTTATTGAGTTCTTCGATAATTTACCTGTGTCGGTACCGACTTTGTTTTGGAAATTTTACACTTCTTTTATTACTAATTTACGCCCAAAGTTGTGTTAAAATTGGCAATAAAAACGAATCTTTGGTAGCTCGTAACTTTTTAATAACATTTTATTTTACAATTCTGTTTCCGTACAGACAAATTTAATAATGACACAAAACGATATCATGTTTAATTTTGGATGTACACTGTCAAAAAGCGGAGTAAAACCCCTCCGAAATTTCTATGGAAATAATGTCGACTAGTGTCACCTTAAAACACATTTTTAATAGCTATTGTGATGTACCTTTTATAAAGCAACCTATTTATGACATACAATTGTTATCATAATATATCATTATTAATCTTAATGAAAGCTTATTTTCTGTAAATATATTAATACCAACTCGCTCCAGCCACTAGTCATCATCGATCAGGTAAAGCTATATTGAAAATTTACTGGCAGCTCATGTTTCAACTTCTAGATCATACTGCCTCTTAAGGATATATGCTGTTGCCTTGGATCTACCTCATTACATTATTATTTTGTTCGAAGCTTATTCAGCTATAAATACCATAGGTTCTATTTAAAAATGTTGTAATATAAAATGCTGGTAGAACTTAGATTTTACCCAAAATTATCCATAAAACAAAATAGAGACTTGAAAATTTAACAAACTTCATTAAATATTATGTAAAAGTAATGTATAAAATCTATTCGCCTAAAACGATACTAAATTCTAACTGTTGCCAGCTCTGCTGTAATTCAGTAACTAAGCACTTGGTTGTGACGCTGCAGGACTTTGTAATCGAATCCCGCATGGTGTAAATATTATTTTGGCATACAAATAATTTTCCAGGCCTATATTTTGTTCATGTGCGATGTGTGTATGTAAAACACCTCGACGATAATTGCGATAATCCTGGTAGTGGTAACGTTTTTTAATTCGTTAATAAATAAATTGTATTAATAAACATCTGCCACTGCATCAAATATATTGAATTAAATCGTATAAACTTAAAAAGTTAAGCAATTTAATACAGCTATCGTCCTGTGTACAGTTACAAAGTAATTTTAGTTCTTAAAATTACACACATACAAATTGGATAGTGTAATATAGGTGGAGCTATGTGTGGAAACAATGGGAGAGGTGGTTTCACTTCTCGCTCGTGACGATGTCGGTCCTGTGGAGGCCGATAGAGGAGACTTCGCAAGGCGGTTACTTCCAACTGTATTGAAGACTACCACAACTATGTTAAGGGATAGAGCAAAGGCGAAGGATGGATCTGGTGTTGTCGATGATCCTTTGGTGGTGAGTATTAAAGAGTAAGAAAAAGTAATAGTTACAGCTTATTTAAACTCCACTCTGGATGACAGGCCTCCTCTCATTTCTGAGTGGGTGTAATGGCAAGGAAAGATTGTTTTCTTGAATTAATACTATATTAGTATAAATATGGATCTGAGACGTGGACATTTAGCGCTGGCTGTACGAGGAAGCTCAAGGTCCCTCGGCGAGATATGAAAAGGGTTATGGTCAGCGGTTCTCTGCGTGATAGAATCAGAGTGACCGACATTGCCTTACGAATCAGTAAGCTGAAGTGGCAATGGGCTGGGTCATATATCTCGAACAACCGACACCCGATGTGGAAGACTTGTTTTCGAGTGGCAGCCTCGAACCGGAAAACAAATTGTAGGGCGTTTGTATTTGCATACCCATTTTCTTCGTCCCAAGAATTTTTTACGCTTGGACCTTCATTCTTTTAATGAACACTAGGATAGAGTATAATTTTTATTATGTTTAGATTTTAATGCCATTTAACATCAATACAATACCGTAAATAATCTCCCGACTACGGGAAAGGCACATTTCCAGCAGTGAACTTTAACTGACTGATGAATGACCAATTATTATGTGTAAATCACGGCCGCGGAGCAGGAATTTTTTATTGCTTTGCATTTTAAACGTAATTCCATTATAAAAAGTCTTATTTCTATTGCAACTACGATAGTTTTAGGACTTTTTGAACAGTATTTGTGATTTGAAAACAGAGTTTATTCTGAAGTTATTAAAGTTCACATTTGTATGAATTGAAATAATTCGAAATTCTTCCTGCTCCGCGATCACGCCATATCTAACACTTTTGGTCCTTCGAGCTGGATATAATTAGCTAGAATGAAATGGAATAGAATCGGATATCTTACCTTCGATGATCATTTGTCGTATTAAGGATGATAAGATACATATGTCTTTTTTATTTTCAGAGAAGAATAGTGTGCGTGCTTTTAGACATGGTCCGCCAAATGTCAGAGGAGCAGTACTCGTTGCTCGTGAAGGCACTAGAGCACGAAAATGCGGGTGGGTCCGGGTCCCTAATATCGGATGCGTTGGCGCTAATTTTAGAACTTCTGCAGCGGCCTGTGTTCAGACCTCACTGGGCTGATATGTTACATTTGCAGCATTACGTTATGTTACATGCATTAAGGTAAAGCTATTTCTCCTTCTTTCCCTATATTTATCTTTTTCTAGCTTTTTATTTTGATTATGTATGTGTGACGATTTTCGTATTCCATGACATATGCTATAATCAAGAAAAGTTTCGTTGTATTAAGAAAACTGCATATATATTTTGTTTTTGTTGACGATTTTTCATACTTGACTTGTTTTTAAACTTAAAATAAGTTATAAAAGTAAAAACAGTTGTAAGTATGTAATTGTGTAACATTATCATCATCATCATGATCATCCAGCCAGCAAAAGTAGGATTTGCTTTCATCGTCATGCATTGCAGGCGGATTGACGATCGCAGTGCCAGACATGAGCGCCTTTGAAACTGCTTCTCGCTTTCGATATGGATATTTTATGTAGGACCTAAACGAGATGGTAACAGTGCCATTTATCGGAAGCCATTAAAATTTTTTAGTATATCCCTTATAAGACTGAGGGATACTATTACGCCGATAGCACACGGCGATGGCATTTAATAGTAGTAATGTCGATTTTAAAATTTGTGGTTAGTATTAATAACACGAAAAAACCTTTGTTCAGCGGTGGACTTGTGAAAGACTGTAATGATGATGAAGTATTTAGTTCAGAATTAACATAATTTTACATTGATGTTAATTTTTACATAATATTTTTGTGGACGTTGTGTACATCAGAATAATATTTTGAAATGTGTGTTTTATAATATTTATAAGCAGTTGTAGTGTTGAGTTTTGTAGACGAAGTAAAGTGAAAACAAAGTTGGTTACAGCCTATTTAAAGTCCACTGTTAAACTTAAGCCCATAGATTAGCAGCCTCATAGGGGAAATGTACTCTATGAGACTATCAGGTTGGTAATTGTATAGTATTTTATTGTTTTGTAGTTATTGTGGTGTTGGGAAACGAGATATTTGATATTATTTGTCAGGGGTGAAAATGCATCTGTATTTTGATTTTGAATCGTAGAAAGATGTAGTTAGTTGTCTATGAGCCACAGCATCCACTTTTTTATACTTAACATTCGGATTATCTGAACTGATTCTGATGAAACTTCACGAACAGATAAAGAGCAATACTTTGGCTGTATTTTTTGGGATTGTTATAAACTAATTTACTTAATTCCGCGTTAAGAAAGAAAATGATGTGTCTTGCCCAATTTCAAGGTGACTTCCCACCCTCCCACAGTAATTTTTTATATTGATAGCTAATCGATAATATTTGTTTTGCTTTGTGTATTGTTAATCGCCTTTTTAAAATTGATTTAACATTATTCCATCGCTATACATCAAACTGTAAGCTGTCACGCGCACGATTCTATAACGCAGACTATAGTTTTCTAAAACTCACAGCATCCACTTTTTTTTACTTACCATTCGGACTGGTTGAACTGATTCTGATGAAACTTCAGGAACAGATAAAGAGCAATGCCTAGGCTGATAAAATAAATGATCTTTGATTATCTTAAATTTAAACAATGCTACATTATTAAAACGTATCCAGGCAAAAGCGGAGCGGGTCGCTAGTAATAAATAAAGACAGAGTGTTCGTGCAGGCTGGTGTCGAGCACGCTGTGCGAGCGCGCGCAGGCGTGCTCGAGGTCGGGGCTGCAGGCGTGGGCGCGCGAGTGGTTCGCGGCGAGCGCGGCGCTGTGCATGGCGCCGGCGCTGCAGCTGCAGGCGCTGCCGCCGGCGCGCCGCCGCCGCCTCGCCGCCAGCTACGGCGACCTGCGCCGCGCCGCCGCCGCCGCCATGGCGCGCCTCTGGTACGCGCTCGGTGAGTCCCTGCGCCACTATTACCACACATTACACCACCATTACTACACTAACTACTACTAACAGTCACTCATCGAAGCCATCTACACGGACCAATCGTGCGGTGCGGTGCGGAGCGAGACGCTAGGCCAGTGCTCCCGAACGGTCGAACATCCACTTATTAATTGTTCGGCAGAATTGTCAAGTAATTTTTTTTCGTAATTGCTTCATCATCATCATCATCATTACAGCCCTTCACAAGTCCACTGCTGAACATAGGCCTCCCCCAAAGAATGCCACAAAGCACGGTCCTGAGCCACCTGCATCCATCGACTTCCTGCATGTCTTACCAGGTCGTCACTCCATCTCGTGGGGGGACGCCCTACACTTCGCCTACCGGTACGAGGCTGCCACTCGAGAACCTTTCTTCCCCATCGGTTGTCGGTTCTTCGAGCTATATGGCCGGCCCACTGCCACTTCAGCTTACTAATCCGTTGGGCTATGTCGGTTACTCTGGTTCTACTGCGGATATCCTCATTCCTAAGTTTATCACGCAGAGAAACTCCGAGCATAGCCCTCTCCATAGCTCGCTGAGCGACCTTGAGCTTCCTCATACGGCCAGCAGTGAAGGACCACGTCTCAGTTCCGTAAGTCACCACTGGCAACACGCACTGGTTGTACAATTTCGTTTTCAGGTTTTGAGGTATGTTTGACGAGAAGATGTGTCGTAGCTTCCCGAACACTGCCCAGCCGAATTGAATCCGTCGATTGACCTCTCGGTCGAAGTTGGACTTACCTAGTCGGACTATTTGTCCCAGGTAAACATACTCGTCAACAACTTCGAGCTTAGTGCTCCCAACAACTACCGGCATAGGTGTGACATGGACATTGAACATGATCTTTGTTTTGTCCATGTTCATCTTAAGATCTATCCGTTGGGAAACACTATCGAGGTCATTGAGCATAGTGCTTAGGTCCTCCAGCGATTCTGCCATAAGGACTATATCGTCGGCAAATCGAAGGTGAGTAATGTACTCGCCATTGATGTTGATACCGTATCCTTTCCAGTCCAGAAGCTTGAAAACGTCTTCCAATGCAGCGGTGAAGAGTTTCGGGGATATGACGTCACCCTGTCTTACACCTCTCTGCAATTGGATAGGTTTCGTACTCTGATTCTGTACTCGGATAGCCATCGTAGCCCTACTGTACAAGCACTTGAACACTTCGATATACCGACAGTCAACTTGGCACCGCTGAAGGGACTGCAGCACCGCCCAAATTTCGACGGAATCAAAGGCTTTCTCATAGTCCACATACGCCAGACATAGTGGCAAATTGTACTCTTCGGACTTCTGTACAATTTGCCGAAGGGTATGTATGTGGTCTATGGTGCTAAAGCCCTTTCGGAAACCGGCTTGTTCGGGAGGCTGGAAGTCGTCAAGTCTGCGCGCGAGACGATTCGTAATGACTCTCGAAAACAGCACGTAGACGCGGCTCAGAAGGGAAATCGGTCTGTAGTTCTTCAAGAGAGCGTTGTCACCTTTCTTGAAGAACAAGACCACCGCACTTCTGCTCCACGCCTCCGGTGTAATGCCACCATGGAGGACGGAATTAAAGAGCTTCTGAAGGACTTCAAGTACCGGTCTTCCACCCGCTTTCAGAAGCTCCGCTGTAATTCCATCCTCGCCTGGGGCCTTACCGTTTTTAAGGTGCTGGAGAGCCATTCTAATCTCGCTCAGACTGACGTCCGGGATATCTTCGGAATAGTGTCGGATGAGACTCGCTCTTGGATCGTTACTCACACTTGCGTGTGGCTCCAACGATGACGTGTACAGCTGCCCATAGAACCTCTCAATCTCACTCAAAATCTCAGGTGTCCCGGAAACGATGCTGCCGCACTCTGTCTTCAGCTTTGACAGTTGGCTCTTTCTGGCAGACAGATCTCTGGCAAAGACTTTGGAGCCTTGGTTCCGCTCGATCGCTTCTTCAATACGAGCTGTATTGAAGTTGCGTAAGTCCCGCCGCATGCATTTGGAGATCTGTCTGTTCAGATGCCTGTATGCTGTCAAATGTGTTGAAGAATGTAGCCTCATCTCCCGTCTAACAGCCATGAGATTAAGAGTGTGATCGGAGAGTTTTTGTGTTCTTCTGCGGCGGGTCTTGCAGAACTTAGCTCCGACCGCATGGACAGTTTCCACGAGCTTGTCATTCATATCGTCCACTTCATTGCAGTCTTCTAGGCACTGAAAACGGTTTTGTAACTCGAGCTGAAAGGTTTCGGGACTTTGGAACAGAGCACGAGGGGGACGGAGCGTTGACTTCATTAGACGAGACCTCTCCAACTTAACGTTTAGGTTCAGTGTGCCTCTAACCATTCGGTGATCGCTACCAGTTTTCACCCTCGCGATCACGGAGACATCACTGAACAGTTGTCGTCTGGTCGTCATAATGAAGTCAATCTCATTTTTTGTCGAACCGTCGGGGCTCGACCAGGTCCACTTCCTGTGGGGCCGCTTCTGGAAGAAAGAGTTCATCATAAAGAGTCCCTCTTTCTCCATGAAGTCGGCCAGCTGCTGGCCCCTTGGGTTCCGTTGCCCTATTCCAAATTTCCCTACTTTCAGCTCACCGTTCTCTCTTGTGCCTAGTTTTGCATTGAAGTCTCCCATTAACACCGTATATTGGGTTTTGGAGGAATGCATGGCTCTAGAGATATCCTCATAAATTTCCTCCACCTCCTCATCGGGGTGTGCCGAGGTTGGTGCGTAAACCTGTATGACCTTCAGCGAATACCGTTTGGTGATTCTGAGTATAAGGTACGCAACCCTCGTCGACACACTCCCGATCTTTACAACGTTGTTAACGAGAGACTTGTGGACGATAAATCCGACACCTCCTTGGGACAGATGGTCGCCCTCCCGGTGATAGAACAAGTTGCCGGATTTGAGGATTTCCGTGTCCTCCCCCTCTCTTCGGACTTCGGATAATCCTATAATATGCCAGCGCAACTTGTCTATCTCTTCTTCCAGCTCCACGATTTCTCGTCAGTCCTCAGGGTGCGTGCGTTGTACGTTGCCAGGTCAAGTCGTCTAAGGTGGCAACCGAACCTCCACCGGAGATTCTTAGCACCCCCTGCCCCGCCGTTACCATGGTCGCCACCGTAGCCAGGAATAGCGGGGCCGCCGGGGACTGGGGGCCGTCCCTTTGTTACATTCATAAGGGGGTATTTGCCATAGTTGCCACGCTTGGCGAGCGGGTTGGCAACCGCAGTTTTTTATTATAATTTTGGCTGCTTTTTATTATCAGGAAGATGCTGCTGCCCATCTCCTGCCTGTTTCCCTTTGTCGCCTTTTACGACACCCACGGGAGGATATGGGGTAGTGGATATTCTTGACCGCCACTACACGGCAGTATTTAGTATTTGCTTATTAATCATTTTATCCAACAATCAAATAATGAAATCATAAAGGTACGATCATCAAATTAAATAGGTCAGATAGTAGGGTGCATTGTCTGAGACGTATAGACTGCAATGTGAAGTGAGACAGTATGGTCTGACCTCCCCGGCGTTCTTTAGCATATACATCAATCAGTAGCTTAGCAGCACCAGTATCGGATGCAGCTGTTGAGTATCAAGCTCCACTTGTGCTGGTGGAATTCTTGACTAAAATAAGTACTTCAATATGTAGACTGTAATCCGTAATGCATGCTTTCACGACCGGGTTTTTCCGAGCAAGATATGCGTTGTAGTGCCGCGTTGTATCCATGATGGTGGTGGGGCCGCAAAGCACCAGGGATAATAATGGGCTACAACCTGAGAAACACAGCATTGAGAGCAATATCGTAGATAACATAAGTTATGCAGATGATATGGTGGGTCACAGTTCCTCGATTGATGCACTCAGGCATCTGCTTGGAATGTGTGAAAGATACGCCATGTCTCATAGCCTCTAAAGAAAAGTGAGGTTATGGTGTTTCGAGTAGGTACTATTAAGCCTAATACAGTTCTTGCTGTGTGCTTTTATGGTGTAACACTCTAAAGAGTGTCCCAATTTAAATACCTTGGCCACATAGTTAATGAAGATTTAGATGATGACGATGATATAAAGAAGGAGTGAAGAGCGTTATCGGTCCGGTACATCATGCTGACCCGCATGCTTGCACGTTGTATGAGAGAGGTGAAAATTACTCTTTTCAAGGCGTTTGCCAGTCATTCTACACGTGCAGCCCGTGCGTTAGAATTACGCAGCGGGCCTACAATGTTCTTAATGTGCATTATAATAATGCATTTAGGGTGCTGCACAACAGGTGCTGTACGCACAACAGTATCGTTCAAGCCCCAAGCTTGAACGATACTGTTGTACGTCAGACATGTTTGCTGAAGCGGCTTTCAAGCTATTCTGCGAAATAGAACAGCATCCCTAATGCGCAAGCTTCGGGGTAACACCAACAGCATCCTCAGAGTTATTGTGGAGAGACCAGACTGCCTGTTCCTGCATCACTGGACACGTATGCACTGCTGCGGGTCAGATAGTGGGAAGTGGGCAGAGGTTTATGAATTAATTTAGTTATAATTAGTTAATCTTGTTACTAACATATTTTAGTATATAAATTGCTTACTAACCCATATCGATCATGGTCTGAAATAAATTATTATAGATTGCCTGATTAAATTATTTAATTTGTTTAAACGTGGAATAAAAAATCACGATATTGTTTTTCATTACTTCCCGTTGTGACAACCCTAGCAAGTTCTTCTTAGGCTGAGGCATTACTATTACAGCAGTGATGCTTAACCTTTAAGTGATTAACGACAAATTGACTAATTTTTGTCATGCTACAGATCTCTATCTTTTAGATATTATTTAACTATATTAAGGTTGATTTATAACTTTCTTTTCTATAAATAAAACAACAAGTTACGTTTTGTTGTTTTATTTGTGGTGAATATAACCTCTATGAAGCAAGGTGAGTTCTTCTACTGGGTTAATGATTATAAAAAGAAAATATTTTACAATTCTAGGCGAGCATAAGTATCCGATGATCCCGTTTGTGGTGGGCGAGTTTCTGGAGGTTAGCTTCCTACCCGACGACGAAGTACGTGACATTACCATACCGCTCTTCTATGACATGATGGTGGTCGAATATCAGCACAACGTTGCCAACGGGGAGAGCAGTAAGTCATATAATGTAATTGTATTCTATCAGTATGTACTAGTGTCATAACATCATAACTCCTCGGTAATAGTATTTTTTCTGCCGCTAAATAACGGTGCTTGCACTGCTATGTTCCGGTCTGAAGGGTAGAGAGCCAGTATAGTTACAGGCTGTGAGGCATTTCATCTCAGTTCTAAGAGGTTATAACGCATCTGTAGTCTTCTTTATTTAAAGTTAATTACAGATATCCATGGGCTCCAGTAGGTACTTCTATCAGGTGAATTATAAGTTTGATTGTCACTTCACTATTATAAAAAAAAAATATGACCATTAAATCAAATCCACCTGCGAAAGATCTTAATATTTGTTCGATTAGTTTACTCATCCCGATACCACATATTCTTTAGTAAGGTGAAGTCTAAAATCAATAGCATTCGCAATGCGAGAGGGTATACGTCTAACGACTCGGGTATACAAATATATCGTTTAATAAAAAGATCTATTCTCATATTATAAAAAGAATTTCAAAAATTGTTTTTGGAATGTAATACGAACGACTTTATAGCTGTAACATAACTGTACTCCAGATTGGTAGGAGCACGGTTGCATGAAAAACAAAGAGTGTGTTTGGTATGTGATGTATGGTGGATGACGAACTTCAAACAACGAAGACTATAGATATTGTTACTTGTAAGGACTGATATGGAATGACTTATAGCCTGTAGTTATACTCTACACTTTATACCGTTTCGACAGAAACCCATCAGTGCGCGCAGTTCTATTTGACAGCAGATGTTTATTGCGCAGTTACTCAAATGACACCGTATTATCGTTCTTCGTTCGCACATTCTCCAGTTATTTGACGGCAATTATACGTACCTACCCAGACGTAGGGAGTCGTAACACGTAGTGGTCGTGTGATCGCAGGCGATGCGCCGCTGCGCGTGCTGGAGAACGAGCTGATCGACAAGCTGGACGTGCTGGCGGCGCGCGGGCTGGGCGACGGCGGCTGGCGTGCGCGCTTCGTGTCGGCGTGCGGACGCCTGCTGGGCGCGGGCGGTGCGGGGGGCGCGGGGGACGCCGGGCCCGCGCTGGTCGCGGCGGCCGCGCGTCAGCTGGACGCGCTGCTGCAGTACCGCGCCGCCGCGCAGCGCGTGCACCTCGCCGTGCGCGTGCTGCGCTTCTACGAGCACATCGAGCGCCCGCACATGTACATACGGTCAGTGACGTCACCTACGCGTTATTCTTGTTAGTGTTAAGCAGGCAAAGGTTTTAGACCATGCAGCTTACTCTGACGTATCGTTTATGTTGACAAAGATCTTTCACATTATGCTGACGTGTCACATTACGAAGTATTTGGAGGATTTTAAAGACAGCTTAACCCGGCGGAGTGTTAATAACGTTAATATCTAAAGGCATCTAAGCGAATAAAATCATGAAACATATCACCATCGAAGCATATGTTACGTTTCCATTAATACTTTACAAGCATAGACATTTAATAAACAAAATCGCACTACTTAACGTATCAATATCACTTCAACTCTTTATTTCAATGATAATACAAGAGCTGCAATTCGCTGCCATTCAAGTTTTCGTGAATAATTCCTATTAAAAAATAACTCGTATTAAAAAACAAAAACTTTTTATGTCAGCAGTTGTGGCTGTAACTACAAGTCTTTTGACAAAATATATTCATTCATCCATCATAAAAATATGATAGTAAATTTATTCACAATGCTTCACATTACACTGTTTTTGAAAAGATTTTTGACGACAACTTAAACCAAAATAACTTAAGATTTCTTTTTATTCTATTCTATTGTATTCGCATCAAAGCCTTCTTTTCATTATCAATTCACATCCCTGTACGTTCCAGCTCACACAAACACATAATATTAATTATTTCTTCTAGATACGTTCACAAACTAGCTCAAATGCACCGTGACGCCCAACATTGGACAGAAGCAGGTCTAGCTCTACGGTTACATGCAAAACTGCTGGAATGGAGTGATTGTCCGCTCCCACCTAGATTACGTCATCCCACGGAGGACTGCGCTGAACACGTAACACATAGGGATTTGAAGGTATGAAATACTTATAGAAAAGCTAGCAAGACAACAAACGTCAATATAACCAAACCTTGAAATGTTGTTGACTTCTTTGTGATATTTTTTTAAATAATAATTTAAAATTAAAAATTTTGTACAGCCGACTTCAATATAAGTAATTAATAACAACTCAAAAACTATTGGTCTCACCTTGATCAAATTCATATGGGATCACACGAGAAGTACCAGCTTTCAAATAAAAATCATCGAAATCGGTTTACCCAGTAAAAAGTTATGAGGAGAGAGAGTTGAATTGAGTACCGTCTCCTTTTTGGAAGTCGGCAGAAAAATGCAAAATATTACAAATTTCGTATTACCTATTTTTCATACATACATTCATTCATTACAGCCCTTCACAACTCTACTGTTGAACATAGGCCTTCCTAAGAAGTGCCACAAAGCACGGTCCTTGTCCACATGCATCCACAGACTTTCTGCATACCCTACCAGGTCGTCACTTCATTTAGTGCGAGGGGCGCCTAACACTTCGCCTACCGGTACGATGCTGCCACTCGAGAACATTTTGTCCCCATCGGTTGTCAGTCCTTCAAGTTATATGGCCGGCCCATTGCCATAATCCGTTGGGCTGTGTCAGTTACTCTGGTTCTACTACGGTATCCTCAGTTTTAAATCTATCACACAGGAAATACTCCGAGCGTAGCCTTCTCCATAGCTCGCTGAGCAACCTTGAGCTTCCTCAAACTACCAGCAATGAAGGACCATGTCTCAGATCCACAAGTCATCACTGGCAACACACACTGGTTGTACAATTTTGTTTTGAAGTTTTGAGATATACCTCAAAACTTTCGTCAGACGAGAACAGGCGTCGTAATCTCTTGAACGCTGCCCAGCCGAGTTGAATCCGTCGATTGACCTCTCGGTCGAAGTTAGACTTACCTAGTCGCACTATTTGTCCCAGGCAGACATACCCGTTAACAACTTCGAGCTTAGTGGTCGCAACAACTACCGGCATAGGAGTGACATGGTCGTTACACTTTTTTGTTTTGTCTATGTTCGTCTTAAGACCTATCCGTTGGGAGCCACTATTAAGGGTATTGAGCATAGTGCTTAGATCCAACGATTCTGCCATAAGGACTATATCCTATCCGTTGGGAGCCACTATTAAGGTTATTGAGCATAGTGCTTAGATCCAACGATTCTGCCATAAGGACTATTGGCGGCAAATCGAAGGTGAGTGATGTACTCGCCATTGATGTCATATCCTTTCCAGTCCAGTGATTTGAAAACGTCTTCCAATGCAGCGGTGAAGAGTTTCGGAGATGTAACGTCACCATGTCTTACACCTCTGCAGTTGGATAGGTTTCGTATTCTAGTTCTGTATCTGTACAAATACTTCAGCACTTCGATATACCGACAGTCAATTTGGCACCGCTGAAGAAACGGTAGCACCGCCCAAATTTTGACGGAATTATTATCCACATACGCAAGACAAAGTGGCAGATTGTGCTCTTCGGATTTATTTACAATTTGCTGATGGATATATATGTGGTCTATGGTACCTTTTCGGAAACTGAAGTTGTCGAGTCTGCGTGCGACACGATTCGCAATGACCCTAGTGCAACGGGTCTTGCAGAACTTAGCTCCGACCCATGGAGCAAATACAAATACTAGGTGTTGTATCTAGATTTCACTATGTAACAACGCGTGACATTTTGCGGGGTGAGGTGTTTGTTGAGCCCCGCCCGCTTTACTATTTTTCAACTACCGATAAATAGTAAAACTACTCGCATCGTTCCATATCGATGTTGCAATGTAGTTTAGATACATTTACGGTTAATGGCTGTTCAAAAAATGATTATAAAAAGTATAAAACTTATATTATGGCGATTAAATTTTTTTTAAGACTGAATGCAAAACAAATTTCAGCACCTTTGTATGATTATTTTACCAATACTGAGCTCTACGTACCTTTATATTTTTAGTTCCCATGACACAAAGTGTCGCCATCTAGTGTTGAATACATTTAATTATATTCGAAAGCCGAGGCAGAGATTTTTCTAGAACTATTTTAATAAATTAAGTATAAAATTACTTACAAATGCCAAATTCCATACTTAGCATCAGAGCGTCTATCTGAGTAGTTTTTACACATAAAACACAACACTTTGTCCTTCTCTTAATACTACGAAAATACACCGATTTGCGATTTTCGACACATAAGCGCACAGGACGAACGCTGACAGTATACTAACTAAAGCAACGCCCACTGTGATGAAGTCAGAACCTAGAAAGAATCACAGTGCACAGTTGCTTAGGTCGTCTCCTCTTTGTATTTACTGTTGACAGTTGACAGTTTCCACGAGCATGTCATTCGCATCGTTCACTCTATTGTAGTCTTTTTGGCACTGAAAACGATTTGTAACTTGAACTAAAAGTTCAAGGCTTTGGATTAGAGCACGAAGGGGACTGAGTATTTGACTTCATTAGAGGTGACCTCTCCAACTTAATGTTTAGGTTCAGTGTGCCTCTCACAATTCGGTGATCTATGCCAGTTTTCACCTTCGCGATCACTGAACAGTTGCCGTCTAGTCGTTATAATGAAGTTAATCTCATTTTTTGTCTAACCGTCGGGGCCCGACAAGGTCCTCTTTCTGCATAAAGTCAGACAATAATATACGGGTTCCGTTCAACCGAATCGCCACCGCCACCGTAGGCAGGCAGCAAGGCCACCGGGGTTTTGGGACCGTTTCTTTGTTACTCGCCAATATATCCTATTATATTGTCATAGATGTTACTCTTGGCGAGCGGGTTGTCAACAGCAGTTATTGTTATTTGGCTATTATCAGAAAAATGTAGCTGTCCATCTCCTGCGTCAGTGTCCCCCTGATGCCTCTTACGACACCCACTGGAAGATATGTCGTAGTGAATATTCTTACACCGCCACCGCACCCACCTATTCGGCACTATAGATTAGTTGGTACTCATTGTGTTTCGTTGCCGTCGTTAAGTTGAGATTCTACTTCATTTTCTTTTTCTATTTGTTGTACAGGAATATCAGCAAAAAGTATCATAGTTTTGTAGTCAAATGTTCCAAAATATGCCAAAATCAGTTATTGGGATTTCCTGTTAAGAAATTCTTAGTAGTAGCTGTTTCACCTCCATGCCTCGGAAAGCACGTAAAGCCGTTGTTCCTGCGTCTGATCTCTCCATTCGTGTCGGCTTGCCGTCCCAGCAGACTCTGAGAATGAGGGAATAGAAAGTGCGCCTGTGCTTGCGCAAACACTTGGGCACTATACTCCTGTCTCCGTTGAACAGTCTCCGTTGAGACTGGTCGCCATGAGCAAAATTCGGCATGGAGGACATTATTATTATAACTGTCGCAGGAGGCGCTGTACCTGGAGATCGCGCGGCTGCTGAACCGCGGGCGGCAGTGGGAGCTGGCGGTGGAGGTGGTGAAGGAGCTGGTGTGCGTGTACGAGCAGGAGGCGCTGGGCTACGCGGCGCTGCGCGAGCTGCACGCGCAGCTGGCGGCGCTGTACGAGGCCATGCTGCGCACCGCGCGCTCGCACCCCGCGCACTTCCGCGTGCTGTACCACGGCACCGGCTTCCCGGACCACCTGCGGGTGCCGCACGTGAGTGTCGCATCCGCACTGTGCCACGTGCCACGTGCCACGTGCCACGCTGTACGAGGCCATGCTGCGCACCGCGCGCTCGCACCCCGCGCACTTCCGCGTGCTGTACCACGGCACCGGCTTCCCGGACCACCTGCGGGTGCCGCACGTGAGTGTCGCATCCGCACTGTGCCACGTGCCACGTGCCACGTGCCACGCTGTACGAGGCTATGCTGCGCACCGCGCGCTCGCACCCCGCGCACTTCCGCGTGCTGTACCACGGCACCGGCTTCCCGGACCACCTGCGGGTGCCGCACGTGAGTGTCGCATCCGCACTGTGCCACGTGCCACGTGCCACGTGCCACGCTGTACGAGGCCATGCTGCGCACCGCGCGCTCGCACCCCGCGCACTTCCGCGTGCTGTACCACGGCACCGGCTTCCCGGACCACCTGCGGGTGCCGCACGTGAGTGTCGCATCCGCACTGTGCCACGTGCCACGTGCCACGTGCCACGCTGTACGAGGCCATGCTGCGCACCGCGCGCTCGCACCCCGCGCACTTCCGCGTGCTGTACCACGGCACCGGCTTCCCGGACCACCTGCGGGTGCCGCACGTGAGTGTCGCATCCGCACTGTGCCACGTGCCACGTGCCACGCTGTACGAGGCCATGCTGCGCACCGCGCGCTCGCACCCCGCGCACTTCCGCGTGCTGTACCACGGCACCGGCTTCCCGGACCACCTGCGGGTGCCGCACGTGAGTGTCGCATCCGCACTGTGCCACGTGCCACGTGCCACGTGCCACGCTGTACGAGGCCATGCTGCGCACCGCGCGCTCGCACCCCGCGCACTTCCGCGTGCTGTACCACGGCACCGGCTTCCCGGACCACCTGCGGGTGCCGCACGTGAGTGTCGCATCCGCACTGTGCCACGTGCCACGTGCCACGTGCCACGCTGTACGAGGCCATGCTGCGCACCGCGCGCTCGCACCCCGCGCACTTCCGCGTGCTGTACCACGGCACCGGCTTCCCGGACCACCTGCGGGTGCCGCACGTGAGTGTCGCATCCGCACTGTGCCACGTGCCACGTGCCACGCTGTACGAGGCCATGCTGCGCACCGCGCGCTCGCACCCCGCGCTCTTCCGCGTGCTGTACCACGGCACCGGCTTCCCGGACCACCTGCGGGTGCCGCACGTGAGTGTCGCATCCGCACTGTGCCACGTGCCACGTGCCACGTGCCACGCTGTACGAGGCCATGCTGCGCACCGCGCGCTCGCACCCCGCGCACTTCCGCGTGCTGTACCACGGCACCGGCTTCCCGGACCACCTGCGGGTGCCGCACGTGAGTGTCGCATCCGCACTGTGCCACGTGCCACGTGCCACGCTGTACGAGGCCATGCTGCGCACCGCGCGCTCGCACCCCGCGCACTTCCGCGTGCTGTACCACGGCACCGGCTTCCCGGACCACCTGCGGGTGCCGCACGTGAGTGTCGCATCCGCACTGTGCCACGTGCCACGTGCCACGCTGTACGAGGCCATGCTGCGCACCGCGCGCTCGCACCCCGCGCACTTCCGCGTGCTGTACCACGGCACCGGCTTCCCGGACCACCTGCGGGTGCCGCACGTGAGTGTCGCATCCGCACTGTGCCACGTGCCACGTGCCACGTGCCACGCTGTACGAGGCCATGCTGCGCACCGCGCGCTCGCACCCCGCGCACTTCCGCGTGCTGTACCACGGCACCGGCTTCCCGGACCACCTGCGGGTGCCGCACGTGAGTGTCGCATCCGCACTGTGCCACGTGCCACGTGCCACGTGCCACGTGCCACGTGCCACGCTGTACGAGGCCATGCTGCGCACCGCGCGCTCGCACCCCGCGCACTTCCGCGTGCTGTACCACGGCACCGGCTTCCCGGACCACCTGCGGGTGCCGCACGTGAGTGTCGCATCCGCACTGTGCCACGTGCCACGTGCCACGCTGTACGAGGCCATGCTGCGCACCGCGCGCTCGCACCCCGCGCACTTCCGCGTGCTGTACCACGGCACCGGCTTCCCGGACCACCTGCGGGTGCCGCACGTGAGTGTCGCATCCGCACTGTGCCACGTGCCACGTGCCACGCTGTACGAGGCCATGCTGCGCACCGCGCGCTCGCACCCCGCGCACTTCCGCGTGCTGTACCACGGCACCGGCTTCCCGGACCACCTGCGGGTGCCGCACGTGAGTGTCGCATCCGCACTGTGCCACGTGCCACGTGCCACGTGCCACGCTGTACGAGGCCATGCTGCGCACCGCGCGCTCGCACCCCGCGCACTTCCGCGTGCTGTACCACGGCACCGGCTTCCCGGACCACCTGCGGGTGCCGCATGTGAGTGTCGCATCCGCACTGTGCCACGTGCCACGTTTCACGTGCCACGCTGTACGAGGCCATGCTGCGCACCGCGCGCTCGCACCCCGCGCACTTCCGCGTGCTGTACCACGGCACCGGCTTCCCGGACCACCTGCGGGTGCCGCACGTGAGTGTCGCATCCGCACTGTGCCACGTGCCACGTGCCACGTGCCACGCTGTACGAGGCCATGCTGCGCACCGCGCGCTCGCACCCCGCGCACTTCCGCGTGCTGTACCACGGCACCGGCTTCCCGGACCACCTGCGGGTGCCGCACGTGAGTGTCGCATCCGCACTGTGCCACGTGCCACGTGCCACGCTGTACGAGGCCATGCTGCGCACCGCGCGCTCGCACCCCGCGCACTTCCGCGTGCTGTACCACGGCACCGGCTTCCCGGACCACCTGCGGGTGCCGCACGTGAGTGTCGCATCCGCACTGTGCCACGTGCCACGTGCCACGCTGTACGAGGCCATGCTGCGCACCGCGCGCTCGCACCCCGCGCACTTCCGCGTGCTGTACCACGGCACCGGCTTCCCGGACCACCTGCGGGTGCCGCACGTGAGTGTCGCATCCGCACTGTGCCACGTGCCACGCTGTACGAGGCCATGCTGCGCACCGCGCGCTCGCACCCCGCGCACTTCCGCGTGCTGTACCACGGCACCGGCTTCCCGGACCACCTGCGGGTGCCGCACGTGAGTGTCGCATCCGCACTGTGCCACGTGCCACGCTGTACGAGGCCATGCTGCGCACCGCGCGCTCGCACCCCGCGCACTTCCGCGTGCTGTACCACGGCACCGGCTTCCCGGACCACCTGCGGGTGCCGCACGTGAGTGTCGCATCCGCACTGTGCCACGTGCCACGTGCCACGTGCCACGCTGTACGAGGCTATGCTGCGCACCGCGCGCTCGCACCCCGCGCACTTCCGCGTGCTGTACCACGGCACCGGCTTCCCGGACCACCTGCGGGTGCCGCACGTGAGTGTCGCATCCGCACTGTGCCACGTGCCACGTGCCACGTGCCACGCTGTACGAGGCCATGCTGCGCACCGCGCGCTCGCACCCCGCGCACTTCCGCGTGCTGTACCACGGCACCGGCTTCCCGGACCACCTGCGGGTGCCGCACGTGAGTGTCGCATCCGCACTGTGCCACGTGCCACGTGCCACGCTGTACGAGGCCATGCTGCGCACCGCGCGCTCGCACCCCGCGCACTTCCGCGTGCTGTACCACGGCACCGGCTTCCCGGACCACCTGCGGGTGCCGCACGTGAGTGTCGCATCCGCACTGTGCCACGTGCCACGTGCCACGCTGTACGAGGCCATGCTGCGCACCGCGCGCTCGCACCCCGCGCACTTCCGCGTGCTGTACCACGGCACCGGCTTCCCGGACCACCTGCGGGTGCCGCACGTGAGTGTCGCATCCGCACTGTGCCACGTGCCACGTGCCACGCTGTACGAGGCCATGCTGCGCACCGCGCGCTCGCACCCCGCGCACTTCCGCGTGCTGTACCACGGCACCGGCTTCCCGGACCACCTGCGGGTGCCGCACGTGAGTGTCGCATCCGCACTGTGCCACGTGCCACGTGCCACGCTGTACGAGGCCATGCTGCGCACCGCGCGCTCGCACCCCGCGCACTTCCGCGTGCTGTACCACGGCACCGGCTTCCCGGACCACCTGCGGGTGCCGCACGTGAGTGTCGCATCCGCACTGTGCCACGTGCCACGTGCCACGTGCCACGCTGTACGAGGCCATGCTGCGCACCGCGCGCTCGCACCCCGCGCACTTCCGCGTGCTGTACCACGGCACCGGCTTCCCGGACCACCTGCGGGTGCCGCACGTGAGTGTCGCATCCGCACTGTGCCACGTGCCACGTGCCACGTGCCACGCTGTACGAGGCCATGCTGCGCACCGCGCGCTCGCACCCCGCGCACTTCCGCGTGCTGTACCACGGCACCGGCTTCCCGGACCACCTGCGGGTGCCGCACGTGAGTGTCGCATCCGCACTGTGCCACGTGCCACGTGCCACGTGCCACGCTGTACGAGGCCATGCTGCGCACCGCGCGCTCGCACCCCGCGCACTTCCGCGTGCTGTACCACGGCACCGGCTTCCCGGACCACCTGCGGGTGCCGCACGTGAGTGTCGCATCCGCACTGTGCCACGTGCCACGTGCCACGTGCCACGCTGTACGAGGCCATGCTGCGCACCGCGCGCTCGCACCCCGCGCACTTCCGCGTGCTGTACCACGGCACCGGCTTCCCGGACCACCTGCGGGTGCCGCACGTGAGTGTCGCATCCGCACTGTGCCACGTGCCACGTGCCACGTGCCACGCTGTACGAGGCCATGCTGCGCACCGCGCGCTCGCACCCCGCGCACTTCCGCGTGCTGTACCACGGCACCGGCTTCCCGGACCACCTGCGGGTGCCGCACGTGAGTGTCGCATCCGCACTGTGCCACGTGCCACGTGCCACGTGCCACGCTGTACGAGGCCATGCTGCGCACCGCGCGCTCGCACCCCGCGCACTTCCGCGTGCTGTACCACGGCACCGGCTTCCCGGACCACCTGCGGGTGCCGCACGTGAGTGTCGCATCCGCACTGTGCCACGTGCCACGTGCCACGTGCCACGCTGTACGAGGCCATGCTGCGCACCGCGCGCTCGCACCCCGCGCACTTCCGCGTGCTGTACCACGGCACCGGCTTCCCGGACCACCTGCGGGTGCCGCACGTGAGTGTCGCATCCGCACTGTGCCACGTGCCACGTGCCACGTGCCACGCTGTACGAGGCCATGCTGCGCACCGCGCGCTCGCACCCCGCGCACTTCCGCGTGCTGTACCACGGCACCGGCTTCCCGGACCACCTGCGGGTGCCGCACGTGAGTGTCGCATCAGCCTTTCTAATCCCAGCGGCGGTCGACACTCGGCTCCGCCGTCAGGCCGCGAGCGGTAGGGAAGTGGCGCCTTGCAATACCAATACTCCTCTCCCCTTGCGGCTTTACCACCACCGTAGAATAGGACAAGTGGAACATTGCCATACTAATATGCTTCCCCCACAACTCCACTTCGGCTGTGGCGAGAGGGAGAGGACACCCCTCCCGCAATCCACCAACACGCATCCGGAGTGGGATACTCAAACCCTTTTGGAGGGGCCACCTAGCCTAGCCAAGTGGGTTTCCATTTTGTTCGCCGTGGTTGATCGAAGTCGAGACTCGCTGGCGTTGTACTCGGCCCTTATCCGGTAATCGTTAAATATCTCGTTGGTTTACAGGGTTTCGTGTACCGCGGCAACGAGTACGAACAGCTCCAGGAGTTCAAGGAGCGGCTGCTGGACGAATGGCCTGACGCTGAGGTGCTGCCGCGACTCGATCCGCCTGGAGAAGACATCACGCTCTCGGACGGACAGTGTATCCTTTTGTAGTGTAACCCCCACGACAATATAATTTCTTCCAGACCGAATTTCGGTCTCGGCGTCCAGTATCAATGGAGACTAGCGCAGGACAAAATTATGGAGCCCAAGTGTATGCGCAAGCACAGATGCACTCTCTATTACATCACACTCACACTCCGATGGGACGGTAATCTGACACGACCAGACAAAGATCAGGTGAGGACCAACGGATTTAAGTGCTTTCCGAAGCACGGTGGTGATTCACAGCTAACTTCCTGACTCCGGGCTGTTACGACCATTTGACCGACGAAGGAGTAAACAACTATTGTCCAAATACTCGAACACTGCTCAATTTTAAGATACTGATAAGTCTCTTGCTGTTTCTATCACTTAAAGTCAAAGTGAAGTCGACACCACGAGACTTAACGATATATAACTGAATAGCATTTAAGTAATTGGCCATATATATTAGCGCTAAGTGTAAAATAAGTGAGTAGTCTAATTAAAGACATAGAACCAGACAGACGTACATTACATGGCGTATCTGCCAGGATTTTTAAACACTAGCCTGCCGCCAGACCATGTTCTGCCTTGCCTGGTAGGTGCTACAAATATGTAATTTGGCATAGTTATACATATTTATCACGGCTAGAAATCTGTGAAATAAAATCTTAAAGATATTTCTTTTTATACTTCCCATACAAGTTAATGAAGGATGTTTTTTTTTACCCGTCTATTCCATCATGTGGGATATCGTTGGATAGGCCTTTCAAAAACACTGGGAGTGTGCACCAACATTTATTTCGATTCAGGGGTCCGCTTGTGAAATATTTAGCTTTAAACTGGTATTTTTCATTGTATTATTTTCAAAATCGATTTTTTTAAATCTTATTTGAATACCACTTCCTATGTCTGATTTAAAAATAAATCCTTCAGTTACGATCTTCCTATTTGGGGCCATTTTTAGTCGTTATAGCGGTCAAACCGCGAACTCACTTATTATGCTCATTGTCAAGAAATCCCACGTATTGTTACGGGCAACTGCGGAACCTTACCTGTACATTGTGCGTGGTCCGACACGCACTTCGCCAGTTAAATTTTTTTAAAGAAGGAACTCTATACGAGTTCATCGAAACACAGCTCAAATTCTAAAGACTTGAACTTTTGAATAAAGATAAACCTTAACCATCATGGTAAAGGAACTTCGGGAACTCCCGTCGGAATAATGATGTTGTATTTGATTTTGGTTTAAAAATGGATGTCATTTAAGAGATTAATAATGCGTTTAAACCTCGCGAAATTAAGAGGATGAGAGTATGAATACTGTATTTTATAATGCGTTTAACTATTTAATATAGCGTAAAGATGATTAATTTAAAGGATATCATAAAATAATCTTTTGGAAACTAGCATTACAAACATTCCGATATTTTACTAGTAATAGTCCAAGTCGAACATATTCAAAGCCCGATTTACTTTAGTATTGCCACTATTCAACATGCAGATTACCTTATTTTAAATTTCATTCTGCCAAGTAAACATTTGTTAGTGTACGGAAATTAATAAGAGGTAGATGTCCCTTAACCAAAGAAACTAGATCTCCAAATCAACGCCGTGGAGCCGGTGATGGACGACAAGTTGAAGCGGCTGTCGGGCAAGCCCGTGGCTGATCAAATACTGCAGTATCACAAGCACAACAACGTCGACAAATTTGTATTCTCCAGGCCGTTTCACAAGCCGGGTGCGTTTTCTTTTAAACACGTTTTTATAAGCTTGGCCTGTGTGTATGTTATATATGAATGACTGTAATGGAATTTTGTAATTCAATTTTCACTCACTTCCGGAGGACTGAATTATTTGATTTTTTTTTATAACATTGAAATGACAAGTAAACTGATGTTAAGTGGCTACTGCAAATCATATACACCTGCAAGCACCTAATAAGGCTACTGACGCATTATCACATCTGAGAACTAAGATGGAATTACAGGCTGCTAGACTGTAATTATTACTGTAATTTTATACCTCACAAAATGAACACGGCAGTGTTCGCACTGTTGCTTGGTGGCAGAAATGGGTAAGAGGAAAGTTAAGACGGAGTTAAAGAAAATAAGTTCTACCTCCTTATTAAAAAGCTGCTAAACAATTTTCGCGTCGTCAGTACTTAGGTTGCATACACGTGTGTCAAAGAAGTGAGATATATATACTTATATATCTCACTTCTTTCTTTTACATTCATCATCCCACCAAAATGCTAAAAAAAAAAGAAGACGGATTGTTTTTTTACCCTTATTTTTCTATACATCTTTGGATATGGACTCGAACACCCTCAAAATATTTACTTATACTTTTGGCTTATTTATCCACAGATGAGTCACTAGCGGGATCCAACGATGACGTATCAAGTCAGAACGAATTTGCTACAAGATGGTTGGAGCGCACTGAACTTGAAATTAGTGAAAAGTTACCTGGTAAGTTTAGTATTTTTAGTAAGTGGACTGTGATGGGCTGTATCAATGATGACAATGATAAAATCTGCTGTTGAAATGGAGTTAACTTACCGTGCCATTAAATTTATGTTATATGCAATAATTTATTGTATTCAGTTAGTCATTTATTCTGGTGAATAACGAAGCATTTTTATGATTATACATGGTTTGGTGTTTTATATTGACTGGAAACTAATAAGCGACTTCATCGCTTAAAGATACACCACTGGCGATATAGTACGTCTATATCTTAATTTTATTATCACAATTAGTTGAGCAATTTTAGCGTTGCATGGCAAAGCCGCTTCCTAGTATATAATAATTATGTTAAATACTACATTATACAGGCTGTCCCAAAAGTCGACGTCAAGCCATAAGCGGGTGATAGGACAAATCATAATAGTTACCAGAAAAATATTAAAAAAAAGTTAGTCATGTATTTTTTTAAATTACAGTAATTTCTTTTTTTTTAATGTACAGCCTGTGATGGTTTTTTAGCTCCTTTAGCTACAAATCTTTACTTTTTTCGATTCTATTTTTTTGAAAAACAAAACTACTTACTAGATCTGGTCCAAACCAATTTTCTGTGGAAGTTTACATGGTAATGTACATCATATATGTTTTTTAGTTTTATCATTCTCTTATTTTATAAGTTACAGGGAGGGGGGGGGGGTGAGGGGACACACATTTTACCACTTTGGAAGTGTCTCTCGTGTAAACTATTCAGTTTAGAAGAAAATGATATCAGAAACCTCAATATAATTTTTGAAGACCTATCCATAGATACCCCACACGTATGGGTATGATGAAAAAGTTCTAAGTATGGAGAACCTCCAAAATTTACTGCTTTTTTTTCTATTTTTCTGTGAAAATCTTAATGCGGTTCACAGAATACATCTACTTACCAAGTTTCAACAGCATAATTTTTATAGTTTCGGAAAAAGTGGCTGTGACATACGGACGGACAGACAGACATGACGAATCCATAAGGGTTCCGTTTTTTTTCCAACCCTAAAAAATGTACTACGCTAGTTTAGCAAGTAACCTTAAAAGTTGACGCATTTAATAAGGATTCTAAAATGGTATAGCACTTGCTACACTATTTGTTAGATTACAGGAAAAAAAAATTCTTTAATAATCCCAGTTTTGATAAAATTCTTTTTAACTTCTAAAAATGATTTTAGTGTAACCAAAGCTTGCCATGAGAGTAACTAAGATTCTCGTTTGAGTGAGAGGAAGAATCAATCCATGAAGTGTGAGTGAGACAGATAGTCACGCATTCGAGTCATACTTTTTCTTAAATTTAGGATAAATTTTCCTTAAGTTTAAAATTAAACATCAATTATTTGGATGCTGAGATTTTTTTACGAAAGGTGTTCTAGTTGCTTTTCTTCAGCTGCAATACAAGCTCGACATCTTAAAAAAGACCGGGTTATCAGACGGGCAAATCTTCCGTTGTTGACAAATTCAGCTGCTTCCGTAATTCTTTGCCAATCTCAGCTAAATTTTCAATTGGCTTTAAATAAACTTTCTCTTTCACTGCTCCCCAGTAAAAAAATCTAACGGATTTAGATCCGGGGAACGAGCTGGCCACGAGATCGTACCAGACCGCTCTATCCATCTGCCTGGATATTCTTCATTGAGATATTGTGTCACGGAGTGGGCATAGTGAGCTGGGCAGCCATCTTGCTGATACCACAACTCTGTAAATACTTAATGGCACGTCTTTCAGTAATATAGGAAAATGGTTTTGTAAAAAATCTAAATAAATTTCAGCATTCAAGACTTCTGGCAACTCAAAAGGTCCTATGACTCCTCCGTTTAAAATTCCATTCCACGTGTTTATAAAAGCGATATTGAGATCTGTTTTGCCTCATTAAATTCGGATTCTCTATGTGCCATTCGTGTAAATTATGTAGGTTCATGTAACCGTCTTTTTTAAATGTCGATTCATGCATCCACAAAAATTTTTCTAAGAATAGCGGGTCTTCGTGGTGTCTTTGTAGCATCGTTTGGCAAAACGCAACCCGACGTTGATAATCTTAAGGTAGCAGGGTTTATACTCTCTGTACATGGTACGGCTGTAACTAATTTTTTTGTAAAATTCGGTGAGCGGTACTTTTGGGCACTCTTGTGCTTTCCTGAATCGCTCATACCGAATTACTTGGGTCTTCTTCAACTGCTTATAGTGTCCTCGAAAGGTAACGAACTTTTTCCTTCACCATGTACTTGGTTTGGAAGTCTGCCCTCAGTAAAGAGTAGACGGTGCACATTTGTAAAAACTCGATGATCTGGATAGCGATCAGCATTTTGGTATCTCTCGCGATACAGTCTAGCCGCAACACTAGCATTACCTCTGCATTCCCCATAAATGTAGTGCATGTTTGCATATTCCTGTATGGTGTACACAGACATGTTAGCACTACACAATCACACTATAGATCAGGAGAGAACCAAGGTTGTCGTTAAAAGATCGAAACTGTCAAATCCAAATCACAAGCAAACAAGTCCAATAAGTGAAGCAAAAATTCGGTAAATACGAAATAACACGAACGAATACGGAAAGATGCGTAGTAAACGATGGAGCGTAACGTACTCATCTACATTGCGTGTGCCAAAACTCAAACAGTGGCGTCACTATCTGTCTCGCATGCACCTCATAAAACAACTTTTGACTCACCAATTAGCATCTGAATCGAAAGCGTCACTATCTGTCTCACTCACACTTCATGGAATGATACTTCCTGTCGCTAAAACTGGAATCTTAGTTACGCTCAATGCAAGCTATAGTTACACTAAAATCATTTTTAGAAGATAAAAAGATTTTTTTTTAAACTGGGATTTTAGAAGAAAATTTTTTCTCTTGTAATATAAGAAATAACATTATTTTGCTACATAGCAAGTACTATACCATTTCAGAATCCTTATTAAATGCGTCAACTTTTAAAGTTACTTGCTAAACTGGCGTGGTACATTTTTTTTCAGTACAGTCAGTTAAAGTTGGGCGAAGTATTCATTTTTCATTCTTGGTTCGGATAAATGTGACATTTTCTTCTAAGCTGGAGCAGTTAGCTAAGAATTAAAAACAACTGGTTATATAAACACTACCCAAGATTACACAAAAAAAAAAGATTTGTAGCTAAAGGAGCTAAAAACCATCACAGTATGTACATTTTTCAAAAAACCAAAAAGAAATTACTGTAATTTAAAAAATACATGACTAAGATTTTTTTTTAATTTTTCTGGTAACTATTATGATTTGACCTATCACCCGATTCCGGCTTGACGTCGACTTTTGGGACAGTCTGTATGTTATTGAGTTATGCTGATGATTTACGAAGGCGCTTCACGATGTATGGTTGTTAACACTGAGTAGTGCGAAGTACGCTGTGCACTGTGAAGTTGTTTCGTTATGTATCAGCAGAAGTATTTAGTTAATCAGCTACGTTGGTCAGCTACGACACCACTTTACAATGGAGAGTGCACTGCGAAGCGACTTTGTTATGTATTATTAAAAGTATTTAGATAATTAGTTACTCTGGTGATCTACGAAACTGCTTCGCGGTGTGAGGTTCGCTGCGAAGCCGCTTCGTTATATATCATTGGAAGTATTTAGCTGATGATCTACGCTGGTGAGATACGAAGCCGTTTTGCGATGAAGCCGCTTCGTTGTTTATCTTCCGCTTCGCGGTGGCGCGGTGGTGCGGTGGTGCGGTGTGTGGCTGGTGTTGAGGCGGGCTTGTCGGCAGGCATCCTGCGCTGGTTCCCGGTGGTGAGCGCGCGCACGTACTGGGTGTCGCCGCTGCAGGCGGCCGTGGAGGCGCTGCGCGAGGCCAACCGCGCGCTCAAGGCGCTCGTGCTGCAGGCGCGCGCCGCCGACGCGCCGCTACACCAGCTCACCATGCGCCTGAGCGGTATGTAGCTTGTGTAGCGAGGCGGAGTGCGGCTGGGTGGTAATAAGAGTGACAAACGAGCACACAGCCCACCTGATGGGAAGTGGTTGCTGTGGCCCATAGACATCTACATCTATCATCGTTTGCGAATTAAAATGCAGATGCGTTGTCAGCCGTGAAGACTAAGATAGAATGCCTCTGTTCCAGTTAAAAGGGTCTCCGGTTCTCTACACTCACCAAACGAAACACAGCAGCATTATGCTGCTATTTTATATTAGTATTCTGTGAGAGAGTAGTCCTACCCCGGTCGAGTCGACCCATTCGTGTTACAACTATTCTATTAATATAACTGCAGCATGGCTCTACCAAGTAAAACTTATGTTTCTAACACTAAAACTTTTGTAATTATTAAGACAAGATGATACAGATCCTTTCGTTACGGTTCACTTTTCTGACCGTATGTTTCGGTGTGATTTTACAGACGTTTCACGTCAAAAAGTAGTCTTCGTTAATGTTATTGTTGTGCAGGTATCCTGGACCCAGCAGTGCAGGGCGGTATAGTGAACTACGAGCGCGCGTTCCTGACAGCAGCGTACGAGTCGCGACACCCAGAACACGCTGAACTACTGGCGCAGCTGCGAGATCTCATAGCGGACCAAGTGCCGCTGCTTAAGCTAGGTGCGACTACACAACTGCTGCATACAAGTCGTCAACAACAATCTAGATGTTATTTTATTTATTACACTTGTTTGCGCCAAACGCTAAAATTTAAAAACAACATAACGGGGCGCGTCGGCGCGCTCCTCCGATATACCTGGCACCGGTTGGTACGCGGCTCGCGCGCGCCTCCTCGCTCACGCGCCGGACGCATGGGAGATCGGGCAGTTTTTTGTCGCCAGCGGCGGCAGGGTCGCGTAGTATTGCAGTGGCTTGAGTGCAGCGGCGCCGTCGTAACGTTAACGTATTTTGTGGCACCACGGCAGCGATTTCGTGCGACCAGTTTTGGTTTTATGATCTAGATTTTTAGTCTTTGTGCGCGTCACTTCGCTACTTAATTTGTGGTTTCGTGAAGACCGCCTCGGATTAGTTTGTCTAAGTTGTAAGTTCGTGACAAGAGGCTTGTATTGTCTTTGACTGATTAAAGTAATTTCGTTTGAAAGTAATTGCGTCAGTTGTATAGTATTGCAGTGAATCTACTCGGACCGCGTGGTCACGTACATAATAACCTCTGATTTTGTCGGCTTTGTTAGCAAATTTATGCAACGACGAGGAGTTGTGTAGCCTAGAAAATTAGACGCCGGGTCGATTAATTGTTTGGAAGTTAATGTTTAATTGTACCGTCGCGTTAAGTGCCTTAGAAGGTCGCGTTCGGTTCTAGATATAATTTGTTGCTGAGTGAAACGGAAGTGAACTTTTACCCACCGTTCATTAGTCGTGCCGTGTGTTACGTTTTTGATTATAATTAACGGGGATTTAGTTGAGTTTGAAGTTAGTTAAATGTACAATAAAGTTGATAGTCTGACATAGTGAATTGAAGAAAGAAATTGCCAATTGGTGACGTCCGCTGTAGTGAATTACATTGTCGGGTAGCATCGGACCAGGCCGCTGCCCGATCACCTCAGCTGGGTCAGGCCACATATATAAACACACCACTAAACACCACTTACATACATTACACCTACCGCCTGACCGAGCCTTGTGTCCAGTCTTCTCCTCTGAACAGTTACGTACTATTTATTTACCTAGCCTTATCTCTATCGTGTAGGTCAATTGTCCATAGGCCATTTGAGCCCCGTCCTTAGTTGTCCGTCGAGTCTACAGCTGTATAGGCCCCTGTATAGTCGACCTTTGTCGGGACAGCTAGGGGCGTGTACAACACTAAAATAAAGCTGGTACATTTTTTAAAGATATTGCACGCACCGAGTGTGAGATTTGCCATAGTTAAATTTCATATGGAGAAAATGTGCAGAAAGATAAAATTTATATACAATATGTATATACATTTTATCAAATACATTAAATTAAATAAAACATTGTTTACGTTCATACTGCCAATGTCAAACACAAAATTGTATTTGATCAAATGTCGCACAGAGTTATGAAAATGCTATTTGTCATTAAAATTAAAGTTAAAAAAATTGAGTCGGTCCAAGTTACAATGTTTGGTGGCGCAGGTTTGGAAGTCCACAAGTCACGGATCTCGCCAGAACTGCAAGCGCTACACGATCACATGGAGTCGTGCTTCCACCGCGTGCAGAACCACGTGCACCAGCGATACGGACGAAAGGTATCGTGTTCCTTCCCACATTCTTTGATTATTTAACTCTGAGGTAGGACTTCATTTCTGCCCCTTATCTATTCTCGCCGTAAAATAGCAGTGCTTACATACTGTGATGCATTCCATCTTAGTCCTCCCAAGTGACAACGCATATGTAGCCTGTTTTTTTTAAAGTTAGTCACAAGTATCCATGGGCTGCAGTAGTTTCTTACAAGGTTACCGCTTTTTCTAATTAAAAAAGATCTCCGGAAAAAATATCAGGATGTGTCTCGTTAGTTAACAGTTAATTTTGTGCGCCGTTGCACTAAAATTGCATGACCATAACTCTTGTTGTCTTATTTCTCGAATCGAATTGGTTCGTGAATAAGCTTTAAAAAAATCGAAACCAAGTGAATTCGAATCGAATTCGAAAACAGTTTCGGGTGTTAACCTATATTGTAAAATAATGAGTTGGAAGTTTACAAAATAATAATAAAGACGAAACTATTTTAATAATTAGTAAATAAGCATTCTTTCCTGGTTTATCACTGCCCCATACTGTCATCACGTGGCTGTGCAAGAGGCGTCAAAGGGAAATTAAAGCTAAGATGGGCGGCGGCAACTTACTGAATATAACTCAAAAAAATAAAAATACTGCGTTTGCCAACCGACCCGCCAAGTTTTGCAACTATGGCAAACATCTTCCATATGAGGCAAATGGGGAAGGCATATGATCAGCAATGGACTTTGATAGGCTATAATGATGATGATGATGCTACTACCATAAGGTTACTATCGTTTAAATCGTAATATAATATTTTAATGACAGAACTGCGACTTTGATACGGAGCTTGTTGAGAGGCGGAGGACTCTTAGGGACAGCATACAAACGGAGCCGGGTAACCTGAGCAGCAACCGGATATCTGACATTTCCACCGGGAACGAGTAAGTATTTATACGCAATTCTGACTTTTCTTTATTTGAAGTGGTAGATTGCAAGGGTCCATGGACTTCAATTAACACCAAAATTGAAGTATTTTTTTTTTATAAATTTGCCTTTAGAAAGCACTTTTTGAAATTCTTAATAGCTACATCACCGCTTCAGCAAGTTCTAAGTGCAGAAGATCTTGGGAGAATAGGTAATAAGATAGTTTTATAAAGTACTAGCTGTGCCCCGTGACTTAACCTGCGTATATCACTCGTCTGAACTGCGTGACATGATACCTCGCGAGGCGTTCACTGCAGGTTTTTCTCGGTTCTCATCGGGCAGCTAGTATTATGCGTCGTTCGCGCACCGACCCGAGTGTTGAATTATTTAAATTTTTCATTATCTCTTAAATCTTGCGTTCAAATTACATGCTTTAAAGAGTAAAGTTTATCTTCATAAAATTGTCTTGATGATGAAGTAACTTTCGTTCGTAAGTATTTATATGCTGTTCTTAATAATAACGCTCATAAATCAATTTCCAATAATGTTTTGTCACAAAATACCTAATTATGGCAGTATAAGAAAAAGGTATTTTATTTACTTTATTGGAGACAAAACAGAAACAAACGATATGAAAGAAAAACATACAAGTAAAATAAGACAATGGTAATTACAATTGTTTCCTACAAATTGTCTCACTAAGAACATACGTAATATTTATATTATGAAGCAGGTAGTAATTGGTATCGTCTGCACAACAAGCAGTGTAACAAGTCTGTACTAAATAAAAAGAAAACAATCATCTGAAAACAATCATCTGAAAACAATCATCTAACATGTACAATACTAGATACTAAATATCCTTATATATCTAATTCATAATTGTTACTAAAGTACTTTTTAATTTAGTCTTAAAAGCTGAACGGGAGATCGAGAACATATCGATGTCGTTAAGCATTTTATTGTGGAGGACACACATTCTGTGTACTGGTGCTCTTTTACCAATATTGGTCCTGGTTTTTTGTATATGAAATTAATTTTTTGATCGTGTGTTTTTGGGTGGTATTCGAAATCTTACCTCGGATAATAACTGTGAACACTTAATCTCACCAACACAGATTTTAACAGTGGTAGAGCCACGCGACAGCTTTTGCTGTCGCACGGATGGGCTGGCTCGAACCGGGGTGGTACCACGACCTCACAGAATACCAGCTTGAAGTAGAGGTTCACCTCTGCGTTTCGCTTGGTGAGTGCAGGTGGCCGGAGTTCCTTTTTACTGGAAATGAGGCATTCCATCTTAGTCCTCACGGGTGACAACTCATCTGCATTTTGATTTGTAATAGAGGATAGATGTAGATGTCTATGGGCCGCAGCAACCACTTACCATCAGGTGGACTGTGTGCTCGTTTGTCACCCTTATCCTATAAAAAAAAACAGATATTCCTAAAAGTAGTGGCGTCGATTAAAGTGCGTCGGTCTTTTAATGATAGCATTTGATATTTTGTTAAGAGATTTTCATAGGAGACGCGAGGTGAATGCATTCGATAGTTAACAATACGTAAGAATTTCTTTTGGACCTTTTCTATTTTATCTTCATAAACTGAGTAGAATGGATTCCAAACGGGGGACACATATTCTAGATGAGATCTAACCAATGACTGATAAAGGCAGGTAAGAGTATCTTCGTGTTTAAATGATTTTGTTATACGTGTAACGAAGCCTAACATTCGGTAATTAATTAAATTAATAAAATTCGGTATAATATGGTATATATCGCGATTTTTTTTTAGATGGAGTAAAGATCACTATTTTTGTAGAATATTGTATTTACATATCACTGTCCTTTACGATAGCGCACGCAGTTAAAGCAGTTCGGGAGAAATCAATATTTAAGGCTAGCTGAGAGGTACATCCTATTAGTGGATAGGCTATACTATTCCTCATGAATCTTGCTATCATATACGATTTTTTTTTTCAAATCAGACTGCAGGCCAGTCAAATAAAGTAACAATAAAAAACGTGTATCCCGAAAATTAAAGATTAGATGTTTAAAGCAATTTAAAAAAAATCGCTTATTTTTCTACTACCTACTATTTTTTTAAATTTATGTTCATCCCTTAGACCTGAATTCTCTCTAACTCGGTTAATTTTGACCGGAGGAAAAATATCATAAAGCCTTTTTTTTTATGTAAAATTTTAAGCTATACACATTTTTCTTACAACTTTTTGTCTAATTTTTACCGTTTTCGAGTAATTGCGAAAAAATACTTTTGACAATTTTTTCAACCCTTGCCGGGGGTTGCAGACACGAAAACCTGTACACATTGTATTTTGTATATTTAAAACTACATAATATAAAAAATGCAAAGTTTAGCCTGTCTAAACAAACAAAAAAACAACAAAAACTTCCGCTTTATTATATTGGTATAGATGACACTAATATCATTATTCCATTCGCCCTTAGTCATTGCTTGTCATTCAATTCAATCTCAGTTATCATTTGTCTACGCACACAAAACTCATTTTTAGGGTAAGCATGGTAATAGATGACACTGTGGTGGCATGTGGATTGGTAATCACATTTTTTTGTTCCAGTACTGCGTCGAAGTCCAAATTCTTCAGCTTCAACAGTGCCATCAATCCTTTAACCAGGTTTGTACAACATTTTTGATATTAGTATTTTTTTCATTTCAGGTCTTGAACTCAGTTAACATAATAATTATGTTTATTATTGTATATGAAAATAGGTATGGGTTCTACTTGCGAAGTCAAGCACCAAGGCTTAAAAGTACGCCCGATTTAAAGTACTAGTGCCAAAACCAGGGCTTAAAATACTTTCAAGTACTTATTGAAGTTGAAAAAAATAGATAGATAGAATAGATAAATAGATTTAAAATGCAGAGGAAATTGAACCTACCGAAATTAGAAATAAGGGGTAAAATCGTATGTGCCATAAAATATTACATTAACAATTGTGGTAGTATTTCGATAGATTATCGAGATTATATATATTATTTTATGATAACAGAGTTTTAGTTCCTAAGAAGTCCAATTCAAGTTTACGTTACTTTTAAGTATTGCATCAAGTGTGTCCGAACTACGCTACAAACGAGCGATTGAGTAAAATACTTTCAAAGTCTGGCTCCGTACCTGGTCGGCGAATTTTCAAGAGAATACCTGATAAAAATACCTTCCGTGTATATAAATAATAATAATAATAATGTTCTCCAGATTGAATTAATGTCACAGCAGCTAGGCTCCACGGAGACAAGCCATCTGCGCAAGACAGGATTGCACTATAATCCGAGTGTATGCGCAAGCACAATTGCACTCTCTGTACATTCATTCCCAAAGTCCGAAGGCTGTCCCTAACCAGACACGATCGGAGAGATATCACAGAAACAATATAGTTAAAAAACGAATTTAGTAAAGTTTTTTCAAACATTTTATTGTCATCACCATCATTATTCGATCAACAACTCTTGACCCGTGTCATCAACACTGTATAAAGTCGAATAGACATGTCGACCGAAATACATTTTACGAGTTGTTAAAACTTCTATAGATATTGTTTGAAAACAGCAGTAAATAAATTATAGTTTCTAGTAGTCAAATTAAAAATCTCCTTTATGTTTATAACAGGGTTAAAAAATCCAACTGCGTTAAAAAGTTTACTGTAAAAAAAACCTTCCCTTCCCATTTTTATATTTGCAGATACAGTATATAAATAGTATATAGCCTATGTTACTCTCCCAATTAAGACGAATCTAACGACCCCTTCATATGTTACAATCCATCAAGCCGTTTAGGCTACAGAGCGTGCTAAATAAATAGACATACGAGTACATACTTTAGAAAAACATTAGTCTCCTTCTGGGGCAGTCGGGTAAAAGCCTTACTTAACTTAAGTGTAAAACAGATTACGATTTGACACACTAATAAAAGTAGCAAATTCAAGTCACATTATGTTAGTAATTAATAATGCTGGGCTACTCAAATATGTACGAGGGGAGGTCAAAAAGTTCGCGGAATGACAGGGAAGGATAATGAAATGAAACATTAAACTAGTTTTGTTTCCACGACGATCCGAGTGATTCCGAGCGATCAATGTCACTGTACTGTTTCACACCAGTGGTTAGAAAAAACTGCAAAAGTGTTTGGCAATACTAAAGATTTGCGTACGATGCTGATAAATTTGTGTTTACCTTCAGTTCGTTCACTTCAATTTTATTGGAAAAAACTTGCACATAAGTTATGAAAACCATATATCGGAAACATATTATGTATTTTGGAGGTATATATATATTATTTTTGTGAAGTAATAGTGATTTTCTTGTTTTGTAGGAATAGCAGTGGTGGCGTAGTCAGTTACTTCGGCACTTTGCAGAACTCGCCGAGAAGACGCGATAAGAGACGAGCGAAGAAGGTAATAATTTAACATTGGACTGTCAGACGCATGGATATATCCTATTTATATAATATGTACTGTGTAGGTAGATTGCTGTGAGGAGGCGTAAGATAACCTATCGCCTCCATAACTAACTGTAACAGGGACCTGTCCCATAGATAGATATATCCCATAGTTACCTGTAACTATGGGATGTGATTGTAAAACCCTTAACCGCGGCGCCCACCTAAGGTACATGATTTCGACATGGCTTGTAGCATGATTCTGACGATACTCTGACACGACCATGGGTGACACTGCTTGTACCAACCTGTGCAACTATAGCATGTCGCAGAATTCAGTTTCAGCCAAAATGTCGTCTGAAGAAGATAGATATTATGCCCTTGCTAAAAAAAAGCTTTCCTCAAAGCATGTACCCAAAATCTTTTGGGTACATGCTTTGAGAAAAAAAATTGAAAAGCTGTGGTACTTTCAATGCTATGAAGGAATTAGAATTATATTTTGCATAGACAAGTCACTACAAGTTGCAAGAAGCATCTTGCGAGTTGCTGTTATTGTAATCGGGTCTGTTCTAGAACAGTCATATTGTAAACATGGTCTTTCATGAAAAGAAAAAAACTAGGTCGTCTTTCATTTTGTATAGACAAGTTACTACAAGTTTCGTGATACGCGCCACTTCAATGACTCACTAGTAGCAAGCTGAATGGCACGTCAGGTCATGCAGCGTCACGCCACGCTAATGGGCGATACTACATACAATATCTTTGAATGTTGAGGCGAGTGACAAGTTACGCGTCAAATCACGCGTCAGATCACGCGTTACGTTACTTAGGTGGGCGCCGCGCTTTAGATTATATAAAATGTCCAGTTTCCTATCCTAGTAAGCCGCCCTGAATTGAAGCCAAATACAAGTCAATATTGACTACTTCGTTCGATCCCCGCGTCATACGCCAAGGAACTTTTCCCACTTAAACAAGTCACGAGTTGGTTGTTTGATTTTGAAAAAATGACAGTTTGTGCTGTGAAATCGTGTAAAAATTACTTGTGAAATGTGCCTTAACATATTATTTCTTAAGTAATTTCATTCATATCACTTTGTAATTCTTTGTTACCGACTTTTAAATATGAAAACGAAAAAATAATAATTTCATATTCATGTGACGCCACAACTCTTGAGTGTTGCCAAGGGCAGGAACTGTATTTACTCATATTTTTAGCTTTTTAAAATCTCTCGAAAAAGAAACGACGTATGACTTAAGAGTTTTATTAACATGAACGATGATTGTTTTTCTGAGTGTTACTTTGTTTCTTCAACGTCACAGCTCTCTAAGCACTGAACCGATTGCAATGCGGTTTTTATGGTTTGTAAGTATTTTTTGAGACGTGGCTCGTATTAACGGTTATTTTATCGGAGACCTAAACTAGAAACGTCCAATGTTCATCCAATTTTGCTTAGAAACTAATCTTTGAAAAAATCAGCGTTGATATGGAAATGACGTACTGACATCGGATTTTGAGCCATTACAGCTATCGATTGTTCTACCCCTGCTTACTACCGATTTAAGTAAACCGAAAAACATTGTGTAGGTTTATGAAATGTTTGTACATTTTACGAACATTTCATAAACCCACACAAGCACACCACCCAGCAGTTGCACATGAAAAATTACACCAATGAAAGCAAATAACGTTAAAAATTAGCAACAGTAATGATTTATCCTTTACACTAAACTTAAAATATTCAAAAATTTAAAAACTTCCATATTTTGGGGTAATTCTGTGCCGCTGGTATTACACGCGTATTGCACACAAACGCGATACGTAATATACTCGAGAGCGTGGCGTTCACTCACACACGTATAAAAATTGGCTTCACGATGAATGTTGTGTTTTGTATTGAACACGGAATCTGGACATTTTAATAATCTAAGGTAAAACTTAAACAATTTGATGTAGTTCCTTGTAGTGCCAAAGAAGAATTCTGCCATACAAGAATTATAGACATACACCTATTCTCGATTAAGAATTACGAAACACGGCAGCATTAAGATGCTAATTTATAGTGGTACTCTGTAAGAGCGTGGTCCTTCCCGCTTGTTTCGACCCATTCGTCCTGTAAGCATATATAGCTGTAGCATCCACCACGTTAAAAATTGATTGATGGATTAAATTGTTTAAGGTATGTAATAAATGAATATTCAATGGTTTTTAACTGCCTCAAGAGAAAGAGGACATTATGAATTCGACTGTATTTTTTTTTTGAAAGTACAAACTTTTAATTTATTTTATTTATTCTTTAAAAAGTGGTACCACCATACTAGAATTTTCTCCTGTATCGTGGAGGCAGTTTACATACATAAATTTTACAATTACAAACAGCCAGTGCAACTTGTATGGGCTTTTTTTTTTTTTTTTTACATGGGGAAATGCCTACGCATACCCGCCTCGCGGGGGCAAGGACGGGTTATGTCGGACTCGCACCGACTAAAACCCCATGGTGTTCCACCCTCGTCGCATATTGGCAGGGCCACGGGAACGCTTTCGCACACTTCCACGGCCCCACCTGCGCTGGCCGCCCCATGGCGGCCCCTCCCCGGGAGAGGACCACTCCTCCCCCATTTCCCTCTCAGGTAAGGCGCACCAGAACACATGGCGCGCCCTCCTCCTCGGCCTCCAATTTCATACGCGCCACGGACTCCCCGCGTCCGATGCGCGAAGGCCATGGGGCCAGGAAAAACTAGCACTCAGTAGCACCAGCCTTCCTGACCCCAGCGGCGGATCTGGTCTATGGCTCCGCCGCCAACCAAGATTCGGCTGCGGAGGGCAGGGAGAGCGGCGCCTCGCAATACCGGCACTCCTCTCCCCCCGCAGCCCCACCACCACCGCATCAATAAACGGTGCGGCCCCGTCTGAGTCGCGGAGGATAGGGCGAGTGGCGCATCGCCATACCAACACTCCTCTTCCTCCGCGACTCCACCTCGGCTGCAGCGGTAGAGGGTGCGGACTCCCCTCTCACCGCAGCCCCCCGACACACATCCGAAGTGGGCTCGCCAAGCCCACTCGGAGTGGCCACCTCGGGCCGGCCCTACACCACGGGCCAGCCAAGGGGTTCCTCTTTGTTCACCGTGGGTGACCAAGCCACGGCTACTAAGCCCCCCCGCCACGACAAGGCGGGAACCCGTTCGGGGGGGAACTTGTATGGGCTGCAAATGACTATTTGCAGCCCATACAAATACTTGTTCGTTGCGGTATTCGAACGCGCAGCCTTCAGCGCTGCAATTCATTGCTGAGCCCTGTGACACGGAGTTGTCTTTGTTTCAATGAACATAATTTCAACCCGATCATTAATGCCAGTTTAATTATTTTTTTAACTCTGCAAACATCGTGAATTCACTTTCGCTGTTATATATCCGGTTTATTTAAGAATTAGTTTATAGTTTAGTAAGAAATGATGTGACCAGCAGGAGGCCGCAAGCGAAGCAACAACACAGGAGCGGAGCGGGAGCCAGTGGTACGCGCCCAGCTCGGCGGTCAACGGGTCGGCCGCGCTCCCCGCCTCCCCCTCCAGCGCCAGCCTGCCCCCCGCCCTGCCCGCCGCCCCGCCCGCCGGCCCGCCGCCGGACACCGCAGCCTCGCCGCTTCGCGAGCTCAGACAGGAGGTAACACAACATGGGGAACTTTGCAATACGGTAATGGGCAACAATAACTTATTTATTCTTACACAAAACCTTAAACTCCAGTCACGATCATAAAAATTAAACTATGTAGTAGTAATAGTTTATGAGACTTTATTGTAAAAGTTATAGTAAGTAGTAAGTTATATAATATAAATGTCTATGTAATGATCTAACATCATCCTCAATAACTGATACTTAGTTAGAATAAGTATGTTTTTATTTCCTTATACAGGGTTATTTTTCAGAGTAACCAAATTTTAAACTTCAGTTCAAATATGTAAATAATGATATAGCGTTAGTGCAGTTTTTGAAAATAAAGCTTCTACTTTTATTTGAAATTATCCCAAATTTAATGTGACTTAATAGCAACAACTACGCGTACGCGCGCTCCTCTGTGTGTGTTTTTCAATTCACAACGTTTTTTACCGACTGATCGACTCTTACGAATATGTGAGTGCGTAGTAAAATCAATTAAAATAATGCATTTCCACGCATTTTGAATTTAAAAAATAAACAGGACAAAATGTTTCAAAATTTTTAATTAACTTTTCTTCACCATTTGCCTATAATACTTATTCTCAAAGACATTTAAGTAGTAGTAATAGACCGAACATCTAACAAATTCGTCATCTGTTACTTTAGTCCTATAGAATATATTTTGGATTTATGTTATTTAGTCTTAGTGACATCGTCAAAAGGCCCTGACTCATGCGTTTCCTAAATTTAAAAAATATTTTTAAAGAAAATATGCCCGATTGTTCAATAAGATATTATAAGTCCCGATATGCAGCAACAGCTGAATGTGATTTCGATTTATTATCGCAAGTATATATTTACCTAATAAATTTTAAATTATGTTATTTCTAGTAAATTGTTCTAGAACGTTTATCATTATTGTAATAAACGCCCTCTGTTATCCAGTAACATCACTATTTATATACCAAATATGTTAGTGATTGAACAACGTTTATCGATTGGTGTTATCCATATAAAATATTATACAGGATTGTCGATGTAATCATCTATAATATTTAGGGATTCCACTTCTGTCACCTCCACAGTAAGCTATACTGTATTCATACCAATAAAGAAATCGGGTGGCCCTGCATCATGGCACACGGCCGTTGATTTTAACGTGAAACGTCTATGTCAGCCAGTACAACCACTCAACAAGATAGCCTTCATTTAAAAAAAAAAATATTACAATTCTACAACATCAGGAGAATTGCTGATGCGTTGCCGGCCTTTTAAAAAAAGACTAAGTTCGTTTCTTGAAGGTCCCTAAGTTATATCGGTCCGTAAAAATCGCCGATGGTAAACGATTCCAAAAAGTATTCGTGCGAGGAAGGAAACTCCTGATAAATTGCACGGAAATGAACCGCCAACCATCCAAATGATCTGGATGGTAATGTAAGTTTTATCGCGATGTGTGTTGGTGAAATTTGTTGACTGGAATTAATCCTAACAATTCCTCAGAGCACTCGCCGTGGTAAATACGATAGGAAATGCAAGGGATGCAACATCTATGCGCAGAGTCAGTGAATCGACCCAATCAAAGAGAACTCGGTCGTCGACGATTCGAGCCGCTCTGCGTTGTATGCGGTCAAATAGAAGGTGCTCGCCCTGGGGAGCTCCGGCCCAGAGATAAGAACAGTATTCTATGTGAGGCCGAAGGTGCACCTTGTAAAGTTGCAAACGTGTACCGGCATGAAATACTGTCCCACTCTGCTGAGTACGCCAAGCTTTTTAGTAGCCAATTTAGGCTAGCCACTGAAATTGAGGAGAATGGGGTTCTTTTTAGCGGTAAACGCGTAAGCTTGTGAATAATTTGTATAATGATTAATCGTGAAACGACTTTTAGGTTAAGTGCTTTTCTAAAATATGTTAGATTTAAAGTGTATTTTGGTAAAAGGAACGAATTTCAAGAACATGGAGGCGCTCTCTTATTGTATATGACGTTTCTCGATGTGCCTTCGACACCGACCGACCAATCTTATGCTATTATTATAGCGTCTAATGGACTGAGGGACGTGATGACGTCATCCATGATGCTACCAATATGTCTGCTGTTTGAATTGATTTTTAGTTATTGGCAATTAAATATTTTATTTCATGACACTAAAATGACTTAAGAAGTTTATATCATTTTTTGGAGTGATGGGAGTCATAATAAATAGATTTATACAATAAAAACAATCATGTATATTCCCTATTACTATATCGTAAAGAATTTCAAACTTAGTAACTTCAACAACATTATCGATACTTTGATGTCGAAACGGTAATATTCCTTAACGGGGTTTTGCCTTATATTTATTAACGTCACCTACTACGGAATACCAAAAATATTTTTTTAATAAATATTCAGCGTAGTTTTGCTATGTTTAGCTATTTTTAGCAAGAGGGCGTCACACACGTGCGAGCTCAGTTTTCTATGCAAATGTTCTTAATGTCCGCTCTATATTATATGTATAATTATATATTTAAATATCTTTGCTGTTTCTGAATCTTCTCTGCAAATTTGGCCGGTTATTGCAAAATAACCCTGTATATTATATTTAAGTATTATTGTTTAGCAACATATTTCTTTATTAGCTATTGTAATGTTGCTTTATCTTAATTTAATAGTAACGTTGTAATGTTGTGTCAGCTACAATAGTGCACCTACTTACAATAAAAAAAAAATAAAGTAAATGAAATAATGAGTGATGGTGTAGCTAGGAATAAATAAATAAAAATAAAAGCAATCACTGAAAGTGAAGTCAAGTAATATTATTGTATATTTTATTAAAAAGTAAAAAATTGTTAAATAATAAACTAGCTTTATCCCTCGCCTTCGCCCGCGTTGTTATAATACGCAATACGAAATTGTTTTGAAAAATCAATGGCCTTTATTCACCTTTTGTGCGTGACTCCGTCCACGTCAATAATAAATTAGAAATGTAAACCTATACATATAACAAAATTAAAGTGTATGTGTGTAGTAGCGAAATAGCTGCTTTTAATTGAATTTAGGGGGTTATTTGAAGTAAAACTTATTGATTTTATTTCTTTTATATACTTACTTTTATTTGAGATTTTTATAGTATTCTCATCTGGTTGAGACGCATAAATATTATATAAATATATCAAAAAAGGATAAATAAGTTAAAATATATTATGTTAAATAAATATATAACGGAAATAAAATTAATAAGTTTTACTTTAGCTGTGCGTTGACTTACCCACACATTTCTTAACTGCCATGTAAAAAAATTTTAAATGTTCTGTTTTACGATCATGAGAATATTAGTATAGATCTAATAAGATACATTTTAGTAAGAACTAAAATAAAATGATTGTGTTTGATAGCTGGTGACGGAGCGACCTCTCCGTGCGGAAGCGGAACGAGAACGTCGCCTGTCACAGCGCGCCAGCTTGCTTAACTCTTCAGCACCACCTTCCAACAGGGACTCGCTTGGTAAGGGTCTACTCATCATTACATATGCACTTATCTTTTTTATAGAAGGGCGGCCAATGAGCATACGGCTCACCTGATGGTAAGTGACTACTGCCGACCATGAACAACTGCAATACCAAGGGAATTGCAGGTGAGTTGCCGGCCTTTTAAAAAGGAGTAAACTCATTTCATGAAGGTCGAGAAACAGAAACAGAAACTTTGTTATTCAATATAGATTATAAATATTACTTATTGAAAGTCACTCTTTTGTTTAATTACCACTGGTTCGGAAGAAAACCTCTGTCCTGGGAAGAACCAGCAAGAAACCCAGCGGGACTTTTTTTTAAATATCAGCTTACAATCATGTATGTTACACACATTAACAACACAACGAATTAGAAATAGCTTGGTAGCAATTACCTCATTTCCAGGGGTCATTATCATCCATAAACTCTTTAATATTATAATCCCTTTTTATACACACTTAGTTTAATAAAGTTTTTGAACTTTGAGCAGGACAAATTTTGTATATTTTCTGGAATTTGGTTGTAAAAGCGTATACATCGTCCCAAGAATGAATTACTGACTCGATGGAGTCGAGTAACTGGTACTACTAGCTTGTGTCTGTTCCTAGTATTTACAGAATGAATATCACTTATTTTTGTAAAACTACTTTTATTTTTGTGTACGTACATTACATTTTCATAAATGTATTGAGAGGCCAAAGTTAATATATTAATTTCCTTAAATTTATGTCGCAGCGCTTTAGGCTTTAAATCATAAATTACTCTTATGGCTCTCTTCTGTAAAACAAATATAATTTCAGTGTCAGCTGCCTGTCCCCATAGCAAAATACCATACGACATTATGCTATGGAAATAGCTAAAGTAAACTAGTCTAGCTGTTTCAACACTGGTTACACTTCTAATCTTTTTTACAGCATATGCTGCAGAACTAAGTCTGCTTGCTAGTTTTGATATATGGGGGCTCCATTGAAGCTTCGCGTCTAGTGTGATTCCAAGAAAAATGTTGGTATCTACAAGACTCAGTTTCTCCCCATTTAAAATTACATTAGTATTTAATTGTTTGACATTTGGAGTCATGAATTTCATACATTTCGTTTTAGTGCCATTTAAATGCAAATTATTTACATTGAACTAATTTACTAATTTAGATATAGCATTATTTACTTCGTCATATTTTAATAATTTTCGACCTAATTTGAAAATTAAAGAAGCGTCATCTGCAAATAATACTATATCATGGTTATCCCCTACTATGTAAGGTAAGTCATTAATGTATACAAGAAACAGAAAGGGGCCGAGAATTGAGCCTTGAGGCACGCCCATTTGTACCATCGACCCGGAAGAGCTCATATTGTTAATGACAACTTTTTGCGTTCTCTTACTTAAATATGAAATAATTAATTTAAGAGCATCACTTCTTACACCGTAGTGTTGAAGTTTCCTGATTAATGTTTCATGGTGAATACAATCGAAGGCCTTGGATAGGTCACAAAATATACCCAAAGCATCCTGTGAATTCTCCCATGCATTAAAGATATATTTAATCAGCTCAACACCGGCATCAGTTGTCGAGCGACCCCTTGTGAAACCAAATTGATTTTTATGAAGTAAATTATTTATATTAAAGAAATTTAACATTTGATCAAGAATAATTTTTTCAAAAATCTTACTTAGTGTTGGTAGTACAGAAATAGATCTCTAAAATTGGTGGGGTCTAATGTTCTACCGGATTTAAATAAAGGTATTACTTTACTATGCTTCATTAAATCAGGAAACACACCAGATTCGATACTAGTATTAAAAATAATAGCTAAATGACGCAATAACTTTAACGGAAATCCCCCACAGATCCGCAGTTTTCTTAACATCAATAGTTTTAAAATATTTTACAATATCTTTTGATGATACTTTATGAAATGTAAAATTCTTTGTACACGCATTTACATTTTGTTTAAGTAATGATTCGGCGACGGCAGGAGAAGAATTCAGTGACTTAGTGGTCAATATCGGAATATCAGTAAAATATTTCTCAAAAACCATTGCTACGTCCTGTTCTGATACAGTTAATATGTTGTTAACACTTAACTGGTAATTTGAATTGCGAGAGTTGATCTAGTCCTTAAGTCGTATCTGTAAAACAGTGCTGGACCAGGGAATCTCCATAGTAACGAGTAGTAAGTAACAAGTGGATTGACAGGCCACAGTAAATGTTTTACAGCTCTGAAAAAGCTTCCCGTCGCTAACCTAGATATTTTACATCTGGTATATACAAAATAGTTTACTATTACTAGACCTCTCGTTCGTCTAACGTCATCGACTCCTTGGTTTAATTTCTTCAATGCGATCAAGCGGTGTTGGTGGACAAAATCAGTTATTGAGTTTAGTAGTCAAGGCAGTCTTTTACATCCTTGATTTAGAAAGCACGTATCTCTCTTCCATTGTGTCGGATTATCATCTCAAGGGATAGGAGTGAGTGGGTGAAAAGGAGTGCACTTGTGCTTACGCACACACTCGTGCACTATAATCCTGTCCGTGTATCTTCCTTCCTGTTTTCCATAGTCGCCTCTTACCACACCCACAGCACGAGATGAGACTGACGTCGCCAACACGAAGGTGTTAATCAGTAAAATGTAAAAAACCCTATCCGAACCGCGAGGGTGCTTTTAGGTATCACATAGGTGATATGATTCTGATCATGTAATCCTGTTCAGAGAATTAATAAGCGAAATTACCAAAAAAAAAAAAAATAAGTAAAAATTTAATTAAATGTGGAAACTTACAGGGCAATACATGAGGTACGTGCGGCCATTGGATAACAATACATTCAAAAAGACCGTTGCCGATGATGGTGTTGCCAGATTTTAAACATTTGCTAAATTTTAGGCAATATTTTCTAAAATCATTTTATTTTAAATAACAGTAACATCACACACAATATTCATAAACTATTTAAATGATTTTTTTTTTGGTAATGTCGGGTACATATGAGCCCAGATCGAATATTTCGGATCGGACAGTGTTTGCTTTACATATTGTATTTTGTTAATTTTTGTACACACGATACAGATCGGTATCAGAACCGAAGCTAAACAATTTATTACTATAGTGCGAACTGTCAATTCAATCACTTTCATATTTTACTTAAAATTAAGATGAAGAAACTAATAGGAAAAAAGTAGAGAACATCCAACAATAATATTGAAAACAGATTTAGACATCATTATGGTTTGCTTTTTAAACTAATAAAAAATGATTGTGTTATTTTTGTGTTTTTTTTTGTCACTGACCCATTTATTATACAATATATAAAGTTTTTATGTGGTAGAGCTACGCTGAAGTTTCATTATGGCTCGGTTAATGGGTCGGATCAACCGGGGAAGGACCGCTCCCACAGAATACCCCTTTTTATTGGTTACGCTGCATTCGATCTTCGTCCTAGGGTTGACAAAAGAGAATAGATGTAGATGTCTATTGGCAACAGCATCCAATTACCATGGACTTTGTGCCCGCTTGTCACCCTTATTATATAAAAAATTGCAATATATAAAACTTTATTGTTTATCAAAAATATGAAGTATTTGAGTAATAAACTCCATAATATTTCAGGCACCACCGACTCCAACCAAGACGACGAGGAGCCGCCACCGCTGCCGCAGAAACAGTCGCAGCGATACTCCGAAGTAGATAGCGATAACAACAACAACCCGGACTTGAACTCGAACACCACACCAGCGCGGAACAACTACGACACCGTGTGGTCACCACGGGGCTCGTTCCTGTACAACTCCATCGCGAACAGGAGAAACACCTGCGGGGAGAAACCCCCCACGCCACCGCCCAAGAAGAAAAACGCGCAAAGTAACTCTTGAATATCATGTCGTTTTAAATGTCACAAACATTAAATGCAAGTCTTGAACATATGCATATACGAACACAAACGATCAATATACAAACGAACATATACGAATATTTACATGCATTACACTGCATTATTTTGCATTATTTAAAAATAATCGTTAGCGTAAAACACGTCTAATTTATTTGGAGCATATAGTCCATATTTGCTTAAAATTATTACGCTGAAAACTGCAAACTATGCATGTTAGTTACTCGCAAAATATAAAAGAAAGATTAAGAGAAAAACTATCTATAAGAATATAGTCAATTGAATACATTATGTACAGTAATAAAAGCCGGACTAAGAAAATATAAACTTTCGTGATGATGCGAGTACTCACGAAACTAATTTCATTAACTGAGCCATTTATTGATTACTTGATACAGCAGTCGACATTATACAGTAATATTTTTTTTTTTTTATAAAAATGAGACAAACCGTAAGTGGTCACTGCAACACATAGACATCTGTGACCAACTTACATAAGGGGCTTCAAATGCGTTGTTCCCTCTGTGATCTAAGGTGAAATTCCTCACAGTCTGTAAAAATTATACTGCCTCTGCAATCTTCAGACCTGAACATAAAATTTTGCACGCATAGTATACACGTGCTCATAAGCAGAAATGGAATCTTACCACTTTGCAGTAATGAATAAATGTTGGTACGATTTTTACGTTATTCATAATAGTAAATCAATGTAATTAAATCAGCAAAGCAATTTAATTTAAATTACCGACATCGATGAGACGTCGCCTCGACAAGGTCGATGTCGCATCACCTTTGTACCGACCAATCAAGAGAGGGCCTTATTCTAAATTTCTCGATAGAATTTTCTTTCATGTAAATTAAATAACATACCGGAATAGAGCAAAATTTTATACAAGAATGTGTCCCATCTAACACTGAAAGTGAGAATGGGGAATATACATAGATTGATATTACTCGTATATTTTCGATTAATGTATGTTTGATATTGTAAGAAAAATATAATTTGTACAATTTATTTTTAGGGGTGTCTTGTGTACTTTTTCACAATAATTAATCGTCTTAAGCATTCATTGAATGTTTTTAGTTTTAAACCGTCAATACTAAAATGGTGACTGATGCTCTACATTTTATTTTTAAAAAATTAAATGATTCTCATGATTTAAAATTTTTTGTATATTAGAACTAAAGCTTCAGTTCCAGTTTTTTTTTAAATATTCGCTTAATAATATAATCACTATGATTATGAATTATGGAACTTAGTCGTTTGACAGTAGTATTTTATTCTATTTTCAGTACAACATAGACATTAAGAAGTATTATTTAAAATACTGTAATATATAAAAGCGTTAATACAAACCAACATGTATCGACGAATTCTATTTCTGTTTCTGATAAATACTCGTTACGTTACGTAATGCTGTTAATAAATGCAAAATCAATTTATTATATAATTATTATTAAATCAATTAAAGAAATATTTTAAACAGTAAGTTATTCAAATGGCAACATTAAATGTGTTTACCTTAAGTTAATATCACACATCATCCATTTATACATCAAGCTCAACTAAAAAAGTAATACTTAATTATTAATTTCTAAGGGAGATGTGCCTGTTCCATAATATGGAGGTTTTGACAAATCAACACGTTTAACAGGCGAATTCACAATCATAGTGTTATTTATCTCACGATGGCGAGTTGGTCTTACTTGTAGTGTAGGCACACGTACAACATTGATTCAGTGGGTTTTAGTGTGCTTAAGCACAAGATTCAAAAATTATTATTTAGTACCGTCAGAACAGAAAGTAAACGGAAGAAAGTTGTTAAAATAGATGTAAGGAAAAAAATAACCTGTCCTTTGTAAAGCAGTAGAGTTAGATTGGTCAGTCTTCGTGTGATAAATCATTTATACCAGACACGTGTTTAACCAGTCTGAATGTTTTACATCTATTAGAAATAAGAGATAACCCTCTATCATCCCCTGTGAGACAGAGGGAAACAAACCAGGAGCATGGCTGGATGGATGGATGGATGGATGGATGGATGGATAGATGGATGGATGGACAAACCAGGACATGGGTATGGATGGATAGGTCGCCTGCCGAATGTGGCAACTGTGGCAGATATCCTCCTTATAAAACAATCTATTGGGCCTATGTTTAGCAGTCGACTTAAAGAATGAATGTATGTATGTATGAATAAATACGAGATGGTTGGACCATCATTTATTGTACAAAAATATTTAAAGTATATTTTTAAGTGGTCTCTTAAATGCCACCACTGCACGTCAGTACATAAATTTATTTAAATGAAAAATTGTAGTGGCAAACGAACTTACGATTCACCTGGTGGTAAGTGGCTACTGCAGCCCATGAACACATTTTTTACTTTTTAATTTTTCTACTTTTTGGAATATCCGTAGTTTGGTTTATTAATTTATAATCTAATTAATATAAAATGTAACTAATATTACAGTAAGAAACATTTACCTAACATATAAATTTCTGTCAAATATTTCACCTCATTCCAAAGTATAGCGCCACGCTGGTGGCAGTAAAAGTCGTGGATGCCCTCACTTTATGTGAACTGACCAGTTTGTTTTGTTTTTTTAATCAAAACTGTCAACTTATATGTGTCTATTGACGTACTTTGAAAATATTTTGTGGCAATAGTAAAACGTCACACTATTATTTATTATAAACTGTATATCGTAGGTTAGGTACTTACTCACAATGTTACTAGTACCAGTGTTAATTTGTTATGTGAAACGATTTGCTCATAATAAATCTTTAAATCTGTGCAGAAATACAAGTTTTGTAGAAGCTTTTAGAATTTATCTAATTACTTTTTTTTTATCTATTTTTATTATGTCTATTTATTATACATAGCCTAACGAATCACGGTAAGCTGAAGTTGCAATGAGCCGGTCATACAGTTCGAATAACCGACAACTAATGGGGAACAAAGGTTCTAGAGTGGTAGCCTCAAACCGACAAGCGAAGTGTAGGGCGAAGCGACGCTCCACTAGATGGACAGACGACTTGATAAGGGTTGCAAGAAGTCGATGGATGCTGGTGTTTTTGGACTGTATTTTGTGGCATTCCGTAGCATTTTTACGTGGTAGAGCCAAGCTTCAGCTATGTTATGGTTGTAGCGCGAATGGGTTGGCGCTGTCACAGAATACCAGCGTAAAATAGCAACTTAATGTTGCTGTGTTTTGTATGGTGAGTGTAGAGAACTGGAGACTTTACTGGAAACGAGGCATTCCATCTTCATCTTAGTCCTCACGGGTGACAACGCATCTGCATTTTGATTCTTAATCCATGATAAATGTAGATGTTTATGGACCACAGCATCACATCATCATTATCGTCATAACATATGAGGTTAATGTTATGACGATAATGATGATGACTTATTAATTTCTCCCACCCCTTTCCACCGTCGGACAACCGGGTGGTCGGCGGGTTTTTACATTTTGTTCCCGATATTCCATGCATACGAACCAAACAGCTTTTCGGAATGCGGACATCAAAAGAGACGAATAATTTGCCGGCCATTTGTCCATGCCATCTTCAAGGCAATAGTAAATAGGATTTTATTACGCTTAGATTTACCGCACTGGGTTTACCCTCAAGGTATTCATCACCACTTCCAACCAAGAGATGTTGTAGTCTATTGTACTAGCTTATAACTAAAAAAAGATCTATGTATAATTATTAATATATATTATTTTTCAGATAACATGTATATATTAATTTCTAAACTCTAAAATCGTGAACGTCGTTATATATTACAGTTGTTAAAAAAAACATGCGTGAGTGTCATGGAAAAGTCGGTTGGAACGAAGTTCCTTTCGTAGTATATTATTATTGATAACAATTACAAATAATTATTGATTAACAAATACAAATAAACGGATTACTAGCGTCTATTTAAATGAAGCGTCATTTAAAATAATATTTCTTTCATGACGAGATAAGAAAAGTGCGGGAGAGATGGATATTATTCCATCTCGCTTCCTTATAGCCCCCAAGGCAGTCAACACTATAGAAAGGGTCGTGACGGTAAATTCTTACACTTTTTTCGCCTAGCCCCCATCCACCAAGTACCCGTACTCTATTTTAACACAATTTAACAATTTAAATGACTGACTTCTCGGTAAATGTACAGAATACAATTTTTAGGTTCTTTTAACCCGATATAAGTATGTCTATGTCTTTAGCACGCTATGTAGCCTAAAAGGTTTCATAGATATTAACATATTATGGAGTGTCATTAGGTTCGTCTTATTTATGAAAGTGACCATAGTGTATAATATACAAAAGTTTCTCTTTTCGGTAATCTTCATAGGCCATAGTTTTTTTTAATTACTTATTTAACCATTGGGCTTGTAACTTACTTTTCGGCTTCTGTGCACCGACCGGCCACCAAAAGTGCTTACTTTGTTAAACGATATTCAACAAATAAATAAATTTAGGGTTAATTTGAATGTAGAATATTTATTTATATTATGTGAACGTTAGTTTTTGATGTCACTCGCAGCCATTTTTCTAAAGTATTATCGTTGTATGATCAAGTATCTCAATCGTAGAACGTGTGATATTATTATCTATGATTTAGAAAATTTAATTTAAAATTAAAGGATAATTTTTGTCTATTCGACTGACGACTGTTGCTGTAATGTTTACCAACAATATTGGGAAACTTGAATTGTTTTGAACTATGGCAAACTTGCAGATTGTCTCTCACTTAATTAATGTTTGGTGTTGAGACTTTTTCCTTTTTTGTTATACGTCGAGAAAAGACCAAATATTTAAGTTAAGAATATTTTATGATTCACTCTTTGTATTGAGAAATGTTCATAAATAATATATTCATAATATATATGTAATATGTGATATGTATATTAATATTCGTATTGTATATCACTTTCATTCACGCTTTGTATATTTTGTCTGTCATTCCATCGTAATTATTTGTT